AACCAGCTGAAGAACACCACCCACCCTGGAATGAATCAGAAGGACCGAAATACACATGTGTCTGAATTGCACATCCTTGCACCAAAAAACAGAAGCAACGCACCAGACACACAGAAATGGCAAAATTCCTTTTGGCCTGGGTAAGTACAACTTAATCCATCACCTCTGAATACACATAAACACACACACACATATATAATGGTGCTGCCTTATTTTATCTGAAATAAGTCCCCATCGATTGAGTTTTTGAGTAAGCATACTGAGGACTAGAACTTTTATTTCCCTCCCCAAATTCTCATGCCAAGTGGATGCCAAGCGGTAACTTTCCTTCAAGTAACCCCAGCAGTTTAAGCAACAAGTGGCAAGCAATTTGGGAATGTGGCAAGGGAATTTGGGGTGTGTGGGGGACTTACCCCTGCCGACCCCCCCCCGACGCCAGACACCTCTGGAACTCGGTCCATTTTGAGCAGTGCAAGCTGGGTGGCAAACCGGTTCCCGAAACAGGCTGCCACAGCCAACCTTGCCACCCTGAAGCACAGACTTACCATGATCTCGGCTCTGCCCACACCCCAGGTTGGTGCTGAGACCCCCAAGATGGGTCACTGAGGTTCTCTGTGGGTCATAGATGCATTCCTGGCGCAGGGCAAGGAGCAAGTGGGGGGGAGATCTCTCAGCGGCGATCTTCAGAGCTGTGCAGGCAGCAAGAGAGAAGTGGAAGCTCACCAGAGTCGCAGCAAGTTCCTCTATCCGGCCCTCACCCCCCCTCCCCGCTTTAATCTCCCCCTTACTTCCTCCTTCAGAGTTGTGCAGAGTTGTGCAGGTAATAGGCCTCTGAGAAGAGGAGTCAGCGCAAAACTGCACTTTTATTTCAGGATGACACTCTCGAACCCAGTGCCAGAATAGAATCGTAGAATTGGGACCCAAGGGCCATCTAGTCCAACCCCCTGCAATGCAGGAATCTCGGCAGAAGCACAGTTAATAGTTAATTGATCCTCCTCCTCCAAGTTTCCTGTTCTGGAGGGGGATCTAATTTTTAAAGAAAAATACACACAGAGAAGGGACGCGGGTGGCACTGTGGGTTAAACCACAGAGTCTAGGACTTGCCGATCAGAAGGTCGGCGGTTCGAATCCCCGTGACGGGGTGAGCTCCCGTTGCTCTGTCCCAGCTCCTGCCAAATCTAGCAGTTTGAAAGCACATCAAAGTGCAAGTAGATAAATAGATACCGCTCTGGCGGGAAGGTAAACGGCGTTTCTGTGTGCTGCTCTGGTTCGCCAGAAGCGGCTTAGTCCATGCTGGCCACATGACCCGGAAGCTGTACGCTGGCTCCCTTGGCCAATAAAGCGAGATGAGCGCTGCAACCCCAGAGTTGGCCGCGACTGGACCTAATGGTCAGGGGTCCCTTTACCTTTACTAATGATTGCTGAATGTTACTTTTTTATGTAGGTTGCCTATTTTAAAATTGTTTTATTATCACATTTTTGTATTGCATTAGATTGTTATAAGATGTACATTTTTTGTTTCTTCAGCTTGTAAACCGCCTTGAGTATTGCAAGATAGAAAGACAGTACTGTATACAAATTAAAAATGATGATGATGCTCTTCAAATATCTCAAGGGCTGTCACATGGAAGAGGGAACAAGCTTGTTTTCTTCTGCTCTGGAGGGTAGGACCCGAACCAATGGCTTCAAGTTACAAGAAAGGAGATTCCGACTAAACATCTGGAGGAGCTTTTTGACAGCAAGAGACATTTGACAGTGGAATGGTCTCCCTCGGGAGGTGATGGAGTCTCCTTCCTGGGCGGTTTTTAAGCAGAGGTTGGGTGGGCATCTTTCATGGATGCTTGAGCTGAAATTCCTGCATTGCAGGGGGTTGGACTAGATGACCCTCGGGGTCCCTCCCAACTCCACAGTTGTATGACTCTATGATTCTGTGAAAAAGCTCTTTCCCGTGTGATGGAGTGAGATGGTGGCTCCAACCACAATGAATCAAAATAGTAAAAATAAGGGCCAATGCAAACCTGAACCTCTAGGTTAGAATGACTCTTGTCAAACCGGGTTCTGAAAGTTAATTAGTGCCCCCACACCAAATTACCGGTTCAGAATGTGGCTCATTTCCTTTTTTGGAATAAAAATTAAAAATTGCTAATGTGACAGTGCAACGGCATGGTTTGAACAAGAGTGAATTGAGACGATGTACAAATAATTACATGAAAATAAGGGTCAGAATGACTCTGTTTGGGAACAGTTACCAGCGCAGAAAACAAACAACCTAAACACTAACAGCGATGTGATGGAAAGTTGGGGTATTTCACCCCAGTAAATTATAACATAAGTTTGCAATATTTTTGTTTGTGTGTGTCTAAAACTTCTGTCCTCTTAAAAAGTTGATGGCAAAATACGGGTGGACGAAGGGTTAAGGATGCAATCTGCTCCAGTTAAATTTTGCTTTTAAAAACACCCCCCTGCTGCCCCCCAATTAGAAATCAGTCTCTTGTTGCACCAGAGTTGGTGGCACTCACTGGGTGTGTGGATGTGACACGGAATATACTGCTACCAGTGGGATTCCTGCTGTCCAGGCTCTGTGAGGGAAAGGAAAGTTGTCGGTTTGGCTGGGAACGAAACTTTACAGGGGTGCTGACTGAGGAGTGGGAAGAGGTCCCAGGAAGTCCAAGGGACAAAAGGACAAGGAACCCAGAGGCCAGGGCATAGCTGTCAACTATCCCTTATTTGGCGGGAAACTCCCTTATCCCAGCGCTGTGTCCTGCTGCTGTCCCTTATGGATGATGTCCCTTAAATTTCCCGGGTTTCAAAGGAAGAAGCTCCTCTCCCTCCCTCCCTGCCGGCCAGGGAGGAGGGAGGCTCCAACTGTGTTGCTTGCCTGTGTTGCTCACCCAATAAGGAGTCTAAGAACGACTGGGGGGTGGAGCTTGCATGCCTTGTGCTGATCAAATCGGCCGCGTTGCCTAGGGACTCGCCTTTGCTCAGCGCTTCCCAGCAGAGAGGTGACACTGGTTTTCCTTGCTGCATCCCCTTTGCCGGGTTGCTGCGCTGTGGGAACCACCGCTTGAGACTTCGTTTGGCTGCTGGCTGGGCTTTCTGCCTTTGGCTCGGAGGGGCTCAGAAGCTGAACATACCTGTCCTAGGAAAAGCCCTTATTTTGGCTGCTGATCCCTTATTTTCCGAGGCTGCTGGTCCCTTATTTTCAAATCTGTAAGTTGACAGCTATGGGCCAGAGTGAGAGAAAGACGGGGTTGCCACCTGACATGAGGTACCAATTACTAGGTTTAAAAACAAGGGTTGTACCCAACTCAGCACAGAACAAACCTCAACTTCACCATGCCCATTAATGCCAATGGGTCTGTTTCAGGTGGAACTAAAATAGGATAAAACCGTATGTTTTTACATCTCCCCAACACCAGACATAGATGCCAATTCATAATAACTCAGAACCAGGGGTGGTAGGTAGTTTTTTTTAATTGTAAAAATCATGCTGTAATTTCTCTCTCTCTCTTTCTCTCTCTCTCTCTCTCTCGCTCACTCTCATCGTGGAAACAGGATTTTAAACAACTTCTATAATAACAATATTATTAATACAATATATCTGTATATATTTATATATGAAATGGTGAAATCTGACCCTGCCCACCAGAGGGCGCTCTGAGCAGATTAAGAAAACTAGCACCCGACTATCAGCTAGGAAGGTTCCTTTGGCAAAATGATGGATCTTCGTCTGCTTGTCTCCAGGACCCAAAGGAGAGCAAGTGACCAAGATTTTGCTGGTGGCAAATATCCAAAAACTGTTGCTGGGTATCACCGAAGCTGAAATTTGAACTGGATTCAGTGAAATTTTGAGGGAATGGGAAACAGTTTATGAGTAATACATTGCCCAAATCCTGCAGGTCCCTTAGACTTACCAGCGGGTTGTGGGGTACTTTGTGGGGTGAGGGCGATCTCTAACCAGATGGGAGAGGGAGAGGGCTTGCCATGTGAGATCCACAAAAGGGGCAAAGGTGAACCAACCGGTCTCCCAGTGGCATAGCAAGGCTTGCCAGTGCCCAGGGCAACCTGTGGAACATTAGCACTCCCCGAGTCCCTTCCGCCAGTCCCGTATTGAACAAAGTCAACAAAAGACTCTGCCATGTTGACCTCTGTCTCTTCGACGTGCGCATCTCGAATCACTTGAGACCAGCACGGGGACAGCGGAACAGGGAATTGGTCAGGAGAGGGTATCTTTTGAAAGCTTGTGCAGAGGGCACCCTAGCAACCAGCCGCCACCCAAATCCATAGCTGTCAACTTTCCCCTTTTTTAAAGGGAAATTCTCTTATTCTGAATAGGATTCCTCGCAAGAAAAGTTGACAGCTATTCCAAATCCGCCCATGCAAACATTGGGAGATTTTCTGTGTAAGCTGTTACTATTATTATTATTATTATTATTATTATTGAAATTGTGCACAGAATTTTGTGCCACTGCAACTCCCCCACCCCACTGTCTGATTCTGAATTTCTAATTTTGATTGCTCTGGAATTTGGCATGCTGCCCTACACCTCCTTAAAAAGATCATTCTGGAATTGAAACGTACGCAGCTTTACTGTAGGTTCGAGTATCCCAGGACAGGAAGGGACCTCCACCAGGTTTGTGGGAAACCAAGAGAGGTGAAGGAGTTCCCCCCTCAAAGCACCAATTTATTGTTCACGTCCGCAAATTCAAAGGGAAGACCATGGAAGCATGTAAATTCAGTGGGACATATAAAGGTAAAGGTACCCCTGCCCATACGGGCCAGTCTTGACAGACTCTAGGGTTGTGCGCCCATCTCACTCTATAGGCCGGGGGCCAGCGCTGTCCGGAGACACTTTCCGGGTTACGTGGCCAGCGTGACAAGCTGCATCTGGCGAGCCAGCGCAGCACACGGAAACACCGTTTACCTTCCCGCTGGTAAGCGGTCCCTATTTATCTACTTGCACCCGGGGGTGCTTTCGAACTGCTAGGTTGGCAGGCGCTGGGACCGAGCAACGGGAGCGCACCCCGCCGTGGGGATTCGAACCACCGACCTTTTGATCGGCAAGCCCTAGGCGCTGAGGCTTTTACCCACAAAAACAGTTTATGTCAGTGGGACATAAACAGTTCTAAAAAATATCCTAGGATCTTCCCTCACTCGCAGGCTCTGATTTGGCCGCAAACCCCTGGGCTCTGAAAACAAGAGGTCTGTGTCCAAATTCCTGGATCTTCCTCCTTTGCAGCTTTGGACAACCCCAGACCTGGAGATGAACAGGTAAGATCCTGTCACCTGCTTGTTTCTCTTAAGCGAGCCTTCCCCGAGGCCTTGCTGTATTCTTTTCACGGCCATTTGCCTGCAGCTCAGGATCCCTGCCCGACTCCCAGACCCAGACTCCTGTGCTATGCCTCCTCTGTGGGGCTCGCAACAGCCAACCCACTGAGTAGGGGAGAATTCTGGGACTGGAAAAATGGGGGGGATGGGATGCTGATGGGGCACTAGTGACTCGGGTGGGCTACTCCCACACCGTCGGGTGGGCAGGGCAACGGCGGCACCCAGCTGTGATACTAAAATAAATAATAATGTCAGAGTTTCAAGTAATGCACTCCCAGGTCCTCTGCCCGAGGCACAGCGGCCCCTCGCACCGCGCTCTGCTGCACTCCCCACGGAGACTCTTGCCTGCTCGTTGGCGGTCCTGGGGGAAGGGATGGGCGGTGGGGTGGGGGAAGGGCACAGCCACCCCTTGACCCGAGCCTTCCCGATTTCCTTGAGGCACCGAGAGCGTGCTCCCCCCCCCCCAGCCGCCGCTGCCAGTTTAACGCCCCTGGCAGGTTTTGCAGCACATCTGTCGGAAGTAAGGCCGGCTACAGAACTTGAACTTTAGCACCAAAGGGCAGTAGGCGACCTTGTTCACATCTTTGCATTCTGGAGAGGAAGAAAACAGAAAAAGAGAACGTGTGATATTAGTGGGTCAAGAGTAAGAGGGGAGATGAAGAAGTTTACGAAATCATGTGCGGCGTGGAGAAAGTGAAGTTTTGCTCCCTCTCTTGTCACACTACAACTTGTGGACGTCAGATGGAGCCGAATGCAGGAAGATTCAGGGCGGATGAAAGAAAGGACTTCAAGCAGCACAGAATTGAGGTGTGGAACTCACTGCTTGGTAGGGCAGGGGCTTGGGATGGCTGGGCTAGGTATTTGTTGACTAGAGACCCCAGCCCCTTCCAGGCCCTAAGGGTTCTAGCTGTGGGGATGTCTCCTCCGGGCTCTCCTGATCCTTGAGGAGCCTGGCAGCTAAGGACGGTCTTTTTTGGGTTCAAGAGACGGGTGACAAGGCATCTGCATAAAGTGGACCACGGAGCAGGTCCATCTCCTCCTTGTTGCTGCCATCGTCAGAGGACTCTGCTCCCAAGCATTCCTCGTCTAGGACTAAGGCAGTTTATTTAGGTGAGACCCAAGCTGGCCTTCTGTGGTCTACAGGTTCCGGCCCATGCCACGGGTGTAAGTCCCAACAACTGGCCCTGACACCCCAGGGTTCTGAGTTAGGTAACAATAGTTTTGTCTCATGGGGAACAAAGTTTTTTGCAACCCGGACCCCTGGGTGCTTGATACAAATGTTGAAGCAGCACGCAGGTACCTTCGGGGTTCTCTGTGGGTCCCGAGTCACACTTGCTCTCGCACTGCTGTGCCGCCGCAGGCTTGAGGGCTTCTATGCACTCCCCGGAGGGCTGCCCCGTGTGGGTCATGCACTGGACCGAACGGCGTTGCTGGCCAAAACTGCACTGCCCAGAGCACTTTGGGGAAGAAGAATGCAGGAGGGTTAGGATGGGCTAAACTGTACGAAGTAAGATCGTAGTCCTCATGATTTAAATAGAAACACAAGAAGCACATAGAGGGACAGATGGATAGAAAATTTTGGACTTGCAAAACTCTGATTGTACTCTTATTTCCCCCTAAATGAAATAAATATAAAATAAATAAGTAAAGGTAAAGGTAAAGGTAAATGTACCCCTGCCCGTAAGGGCCAGTCTTGCCAGACTCTGGGGTTGTGCGCCCATCTCACTCTATAGGCCGGGAGCCAGCGCTGTCCGCAGACACTTCCGGGTCACGTGGCCAGCGTGACAAGCTGCATCTGGCGAGCCAGCGCAGCACACGGAAACGCCGTTTACCTTCCCGCTAGTAAGCGGTCCCTATTTATCTACTTGCACCCGAGGGTGCTTTCGAACTGCTAGGTTGGCAGGCGCTGGGACCGAACGACGGGAGCGCACCCCGCCTCGGGGATTCGAAACCGCCGACCTGATGATCAGCAAGACCTAGGTGCTAAGGTTTTACCCACAGCGCCACCCGCGTTCCTAAAATAAATAAGTACTACATAACATTTAGGAATTGCCTGAGAACATTCCTGTTTACCTGTTGGATTATCTGTTGACTCCCCAAGCCATCACCCTTGGTTTGTCCCAACCAATATGTCTCCCCAGTGCTTTCACCATTGGTTTGACCCACTCAGTATGACTCCCTATCCCCTTCACCATTGGTATGACCCAACCAAGATGGCGGAGCAGCTCTATTGACCTCCATTGACTCTTTGCCTCTGGTTGAGGTTCCCCGCAGTGGCTTGGCCTAGTGGAGCAGTCCTTGCCAGCTCTCGTAAGTGAAAGAGAGCAGCAGTTCCATACCTCTCCCCACTCGCCGGTGACCCAGCGCGGGGGTGGACAACGCCGAAGGCTGCACCTTATACTGGTTGGGGGCTTGGCGTCCTCGGGACACTGGGAGGTGGGCAAGGTGGAGGTGTGGTCGCCGCTCTTGCAGAGGACGATTCGGTGGCGGAAGCCGGGCCCACAGTTTGGGGTGCACTGTAGAGAGAGGATGCTGTTATGGACTGGGGCAGAGAGAGAGAGAGAAAGGATGGCTGAGCTGAGCTGAGCTGAATTGAACTGAGCGGCTCGTCCGGCACATGACCCAAATGTTTCGTCGTGACAGGAGGTAGTGTGATAAGAATTTTAAAGTCTTAGATATATAATAAATGTTCATAAATGTACCAACCAAGCATGTACATTGATCAGCACAGGAAGACTGACCTGAAACCATTTTTTATTCCCAAACTGACCAAATGTTTTCTCTGCAAGGTCAAAGGAAAATGGAAAAGCCTCCCCATCGTCTTTTCATTCACAAATCCTGTCTTAAGGGCATGTCTGTCTGTGTTTGAATGGGGTGAGCCTGTGACCTGGCTCAGGAACTAAGTATTTGTCATTACAAAAGACTGGCCAGGCTCCCCAGGGTATCCAATCAAGTGAGCATTAACAGGTAACCTGTCAGACAAGATAAACAACGCACTCAGATTTCTGGTGTAGACCGCCTTTTCTGTGATGTAGGTATGATGTATCTGAGGGGATGGTCTTGGGTTACACCCCTTCTGTGATGTATGTATGATGTATGGAGGGGTGGTCTGGAGCTCCAGGGCAGGGAATTTAAAATTTCTATATAAGGCAAACCATTGTTCTGGGTTCCTCCTCCTCCTCCTGCATGTGAAGGGGGCACCCTGTTGCAACAGATCAATAAAGATCAGGCTTACTAGCTGCTTTGCTGCTCAATATTCTCTGGTTGGTCTCTGTTATTTTCTCCTACCAGTAGGGAACCTACATAAGGACTCTATATGGGCTCTTGGATACCCCACAAGGGGAAAAGGGCAGATTTTTGTTTACAACAGTAGCTACTTGTTTAATCGGTGCGTGTGCTTGTGTGCCATGCTCAGTACATACTAGACATTTAAAAAGACACAGAGGCTCTTACTTCAGACCAGTCGAGGGCGGCCCATTCTGGGGGGCAGGTCTGGTTGCCGCAGGGCTCCAGCACGCGGGGGCGTGGGGAGTTGCAGGCGGTGTCGTCCAGGATCTTCTCCTCCGTGGTGGAGATTTTGCGCCGGCAGGTCACGCTCCGGGTGCGGACGCCTTGGTTGCAGCTGCGGCTGCACTCGGACCAGTTCCCGATCACCCAGCTGACGGAGGCGAGAGGCAGAAAGGATAAGCTTGCTTCCCCTGTGTGCTGGGAAGAGTGTGGGGAGAAGGGCAGCTACAGGCCCTGGCGGTGCAAACGCCCAGAGGAGGGAAATTTGGGGGTTTAAATGAGAGAAGTAAATTCACTCAGGGGCATGTCGCAAAGTCTCCAGAGCTTCCAAGGGGAAAGGCTGCAAAGTTTGGGACATTTTAGAGAAAAGGCGAGGAACAGGTGACATGACGGGAGTTTATAAAGTTATCCGTGGCATGAAGAAAGTTTTTCTCCTGACACTGGGACTCGTGGACATCCAGTGAAGCTGAACATTGGAAGATTCAGGGTGGATAAAAGAAAGTCCTTTTCCAAACTGTGCATGGTTACAGGGACGCGGACTTAGAAAAAATATTGGGGGGGCCCGGGAAAGCTCATGAATAATAAATAAGCTCATGAATATGCAAATAAAGTGGCTCCGGCCCTAAATAGGGCAAGCCACGCCCCCCCAGCCAGCCGATTGGCTGGCTGGGAGGTGTGGCCAGTCGGGATTCCCCTGTTCTCGCGGGATTTCCGGCCGGGGCTCTCCGATTAGGGCGCGCGGCTGGCTGGCTGGCGAAGGAGCAGGTGGGGAGGAGGCGGGGGACGGCGGCGGCGCTCTGCTGGAAGGGCGCCCGCCCGAGATTATTGGGGGGGCTGAGCCCCCCCAAAAAATTTTTTGAGGGGGCTCCAGCCCCCTCAAGCCCCATGGAGTCGGCGCCTATGCATGGTTAAACTGTGGAACTCCCTCTCATCGCAGGGATGGCTGCCAGCTTTAAAAGAGGATATTTTTAAAAGACCAATTCATGGAGGGGAGGGCTATTGATGGCTAGGGCTGGTCAATATATTGATATATCACCCCAAACCAGTTTGAAGTCCGAATGATGATATCAGTTTCATAGTTTTCGACCTGGCAATATATTGTGAATCATGATGTGTGTGTGTGTTCGTGCGTGTTATGCAAAAATCACAATGTGGGGAAAACCGTGCAGCCGGTCAATGCCTCTACCTAGCTCCATCCTTTGCGGTAAATTGTGATGTTTATTTATCTGGTAATATATTGTGATGTTGAAAACCAGATATTGCCCAGCCCTAGCTATTAATTGGGACGCGGGTGGCGCTGTGGGTTAAACCACAGAGCCTAGGACTTGCCGATCAGAAGGTCGGCGGTTCGAATCCCCGCGACGGGGTGAGCTCCCATTGCTCAGTCCCTGCTCCTGCCAACCTAGCAGTTCGAAAGCACATCAAAGTGCAAGTAGATAAATAGGTACCGCTCCAGCGGGAAGGTAAACGGCGTTTCCGTGCACTGCTCTGGTTCGCCAGAAGCGGCTTAGTCCTGCTGGCCACATGACCCGGAAGCTGTACGCCGGCTCCCTTGGCCAGTAAAGCGAGATGAGCACCGCAACCCCAGAGTCGGCCACAACTGGACCGAATGGTCAGGGGTCCCTTTACCTTTACTAGCTATTAGTCACAATGGCTGTGCTCTGCCTTCACAGCTGGAGACAGTAACGTTTCTGGACACGATTCGCTCTAAACTGCAGGAAGGGAGAGGGCTCTTGTTTTTGGATCCTGCTTTCACACAGGCAACTTGCTTAGCCACTGTGAGAACAGGATCCTGGACTATGTGGGCTGATCCAGCAGGCTCTTCGGATGTTCTTATGAGCTTCTGTTACTGAATCTGTATTTAAATTAGAATCAGGGCTTGGTGGATAAACCACTAACTGGATTTCTATGAGTGGCTGCATTCTGGAAGGATTCAGTTCAAAAAAGGGATGGCGTTTTCCTTACGGGGTGGGGGAGGGGACTGACTCACAATATTGGCAAGAGGAATGAAGTACCCAGGACACCTTTCTGGGAAAATGGTGGCGCTTTCACCCATTCAAAAATCATCCAAGAAACCAAAAACCAAAGGTTTATGCTGACTTGCGGATCACTTAAGAACATTTCTGCTCTAAGTTGTGGTGTACATAGGGCAATACAGGTTTCCACAATGTATTTCGGGGGAGAAGATAAATAAATATTTCAAAAAGAAAGGGAAAGGGATGCACAGGTGTGTAAAAACAAGTGACCCTCAAATGTTTTCTTGGAGGAGGGGAGAGTTGGTATTTTCCCTGTCTCAATTGGATTGTTGTTGTTATTATTTAAATTTGTATACTGCCCTGTACCTGCAGGCCTCAGGGAAGTTACAACGTAAGATTACAATAGAAAAATACAGAATACATAAAAAATGCAAACAAAAAAACCCAATAACCCCCCCAACACATTTTAAAAAGGCCATCGGATGTCAATCAGTCATGTCTGGGAGAAGAGGAACATTTTTGCCTGGCACCTAAAGGTGTCTAATGAAAGCGCCAGGTGGGCATCCCTGGGGAGAGCGTTTCCACAAACGGGGAGCCACTGCAGAAAAGGCCCTGTTCTCGTGTTGCCACCTTCGGGACTTCTTGGCGGAGGAGGCACATGAAGAAGAGCCTCAGATGATGAGCGCAGAGTCTGGGCTGGTTTATAAGGGGAGAGGCAGTCCTAGAGGTATTGCGACCCTGAGCTGTTTTAGAGGTCAAAACCAGCACTTTGGATTGGGCCTGGAAAATAATTGGCGGCCAGTGCAGTTGGACCAGAATATTCTCAAAGCATTTTGCCCAGATGAGCAACCAGGATGCTGAATTCTGCACTAGCTGAAGTTTCTGAACCATCTTCAGATACAGCCCTACATATAACACATTGCAGTAATCTAACCTTGTGGTTAGGTAAAGGTAAAGGGACCCCTGACCATTACGTCCAGTCGTGGCCGACTCTGGGGTTGCGGCGCTCATCTCGCTTTATTGGCTGAGGGAGCCGGTGTACAGCTTCCGGGTCATGTGGCCTGCATGACTAAGCCGCTTCTGGCAAACCAGAACAGTGCACAGAAACGCCGTTTACCTTCCCACCGGAGCGGTACCTATTTATCTACTTGCACTTTGACGTGCTTTCAAACTGCTAGGTTGGCAGGAGCAGGGACCGAGCAACGGGAGCTCACCCTGTCGCGGGGATTCGAACCACCAACCTTCTGATCAGCAAGCCCTAGGCTCTGTGGTTTAACACACACTGCCAACTGCGTACCTAACCTTGAGGTTACCAGAGCATAAACAGTAGTTAGGCTTTTGTTTGCCTGCTGGATAAAAGAGTCTGGGCACTGGGCCTCTTTTGGGGTGCCCCTCCCCCTAGGATGCAGGTCCCCCGAAAGCATCAAACTTACGCCGGTGGGCAGGGCTCAGTGTTGCACAATCTCTGTCTCTCGGGCAGCTTAGTGTCGGGGCTGCAGAGGTGGTTGAAGACCGTGGAGCTGTCGGCTTGGTTGCGGCAGACGACGGGCTGGACCTGGCTGCCTGTAAGGATGGCGCTGAGTGAGGATGCTGAGGTCTGAGCAGCGAGAAACAGCAGCAGCTTCTCACTCACTCCCCACACCCTAGGTGCCAACTCTCTGGGGCCCTGGGTGCTTGAGCATCCACAGAATTCCCCTTGAAGGGAATTTCAATGCGAGGGCCATGCATGCTGTATGGCACCCACAGTCCCAGGCACCCACAGTCGCGGGGCCAAGTTGGCACTCCTGCCCCCCACACCCCCAGGTTCCATAACACCCCCTAGCCAAACAGTCTGCTTTTGAGTGGTAGGAACTGCCTGCCCTCATCCCCATAAAATGTGTTTTCAAAAAGATGTGTGGACAGAAGCAAGGGTTTATCTAGCTCAGAGCTGGCTACAATGACTTGGGAGATTGAAACCTGGAACCTTTCCCATCTAAAGCAGCTGCTCCACCACTGAGCTACTGAAGTAATTTTCAAGTCCTTGTGTTCCCAAAACAGGGACAGGATTTTTCCTTCTACTGAGTCAGGCTGCTGGTTTGTCTAGCTCACTGATTGGCAGCGGTTCTCTAGGGGTTCAGGTGAGGTTTGCTCCCAGCCGCACCTGAGATGCTGCTGGGGATTCGAACCCAGGACCTACTGCGTGCAAAGCAGATGCTCTGCAGTTGAGTGATGGCCTTTCTCCTACAAATAAAGCAAGATTCTAGTCCTCACAGTTCTGTATGGCTTAAACTGGAACATGGGGATCTGCCTTGGAGCAAGTCTTCCCAAAGGTCTGCCGAACTTAGCAGTCTCTACACCACTGTCGACACAAAAATGGCAGGGTCTCTCTAGGAGTTCAGACAGGGGCTCTACCTGGGTTCGAACTTAGCAGTGCTGGATTACCAAACAGGCAGAGTAGGCCCAGTGCGCCACTCCTTTTAGAGGCCCCACAACAACAGATCAATATAAGATTGATTTGATATTGAAATAAAATTGGTTTATCGAAATTGTTGCTTGGTAAAATCAACAACATATTAGGAGATAATTTGCACAGCCCCCCCCCCCGAGATTTCGACTACCCAGTGGCCTCCATGGGGTTTAATCCAGGACTGGAACCGGGGACCTCCTGCAGGCATACCGCTGCCGCACCTCTGAGCTGGGCCCTTCCAATAAAGAGTCTTACCTCCGCCACAGAGGGCCGAGCATTTTGTCCATGAGACATACTGCCACAAGTACTGGGCGACGGAACCACGGACGATGGGTGCATTGAACTTGTAGCGGATTCTCTGCAGTTCTTCCCTGACGAGCACCTGGGGGTGGGAGGGAGAGGGAATAAGGAGGCATGGTTGGTGGAGAACCCCTGCACTTTCCCAAAAGGACCTCAGAAGCAGAATTCTCTGCTGGAAAATAAAGTAGCTGTTCTGTTGCGTGACTTGTGGGACGTTATTGCAATCAATCCAACAATTCATGTTTTGCCAGGGGCAAAACGAAGGGGCAAAGGTTCACAGAGGTTTCCTACAAAATTTGCTAGAGGGAACTCTTCCTGTAGTACTAAATCCTTCCTTCCTGTCTCAGCATCTCTCTCTTACTTCGTCGTGCCTCCAAGCTGGCCACACATGCTTGCCTAGTTCAGGCACCATTTTTGAACTCAAGATTTTGTACTTTTGTAACTTAGATAGTGGTTATAAGTCTGCCTTCATTTTGCTACTGTACCACCTTCTTCAAGACCGAGCTTATGCAAGTAAATACTACTTTTACTTCTTCACAAAGCAATGTCATCATCATTATTATTATATCATTATATTGAAAAGTTGGAAGGGATCTTGAGGGCCATCTAGTCCAACCCCCTGCAACGCAGGAATCTTCTGCGCAACACAGGATTCGAACCCACAACCCCAAGATTAAGAGTTAAATGCTCTACCAAATGAGCTATCCCAGGTCCGTGGGACTGTTATTTTTAAGGGGGAGAAAAGGGGTACTGCCGGGGAAAACCCAGTCTGCCTTAAAGCACCCCAGATTATTGTTTCTAGAAGATTAAATCAAGCTGGTTTTGGCTTCCAAGTTTAAAGCTACAGAGTATGGTAGTCTGCTGATCTCATGCATGTGAGCAAGGATAATAACTAAATAATATATCCTCTCCAAAGGCTTAAACCCATTTCTACATTACATGACCCCCCGGTCCAACAAGGATCACCTGCCATCCCAATTACATGGCCATTCAGCTTTAGCTGTGTGCTGAGGTCAAACAAGGGCAAATGGAGTCTGTTAGTGGGCATGGCGTCCTTTTACTGGTCGCAGGGAGAATCTTGGCTTATCAGGGATCACCCTAAAGCAGCGGTTCCCCGACTTTTCCGTGCCCCACCACGAAAAGCACTCTTCAGTAGAGCGCTGGTACCTGCTTTACAAAGACTGATAGTCTTAGATACCGCATTTAGTAACCCCTGTTCAGTCAACGAACCATGACGATGAGGGTGACGTTGGTGGGGCCCAGGGATTCCAGGGACTCCAGCTCGTCTTGAGCGCGTCTGTAGTGGAAGGTGGTCCCGGCGATGTCAAAGCGCCGGGGTGGGTCAATGGAGAGCTTTCCGTTGACAAAGTACTCGTCGTTCTCCCCTCTCAGAGCTGGAAAGAGAACCCGGGGTGTGTGGTGTGTGACCAAGTCAGGGGTGGGCTGAAGCACTTACATCCCACCCCCCAAAGGATACAGGGATATTTTTCATAAAAATCATAATTGTATTATTTTTTCCCCACCCAACCCATCTGACTAGGTTGCTCCAGCCACTCTGGGCAGCTTGCCAGCAAAATATTAAAAGCACAATAAACACCAGCCATTAAAAAACTCCCTATATGATCCAGCCTATGGCTGACAAACCAGTAGACCTACAGCTTGCCTGGGTACTTCAAGATGTGGATCCTTATATTACCCTACAGGTTGCTAAATTCCTAACAGCCGTCCTCTCGTACAAGAGACGGAACGGAATGTTAGCTGATTATTGATAGTCACAAGAATTTTCTATAATGACATCAGATATTGTTTTTAGTGTAGTGCCAATTTTTTTTTAATCTTAATCTTAAACTTTTTTATGAATGGCTAATATCCGTCCTTGTGAGTTGTGAACTGTGTCATACTACTTGTGGTTTGTATGAGTCCGCTGTTTTATTTGATTTGTTTTGTTGTGTTGTGCTTCATGATGGGCGTAAAGCCGAATAAACATTTGTTGTTGTTGTTCCCTATATGGGGCTGCCTTCAAATGTCTTCTAAACATCAGATAGTTGTTTATTTCCTTCACATCTGACCACCGAGAAGGCCCTCTGCCTTGTTCCCTGCAACCTCACTTTTCGCAGGGAGGGAACCCCCAGAAGGCCCTCGGCGCTGGACCTCAGTGTACGGGATGGGCGATGGGGGTGGAGACGCTCCTTCAGGTATACAGGGCTGAGGCCATTTAGGGCTTTAAAGGTCACAACCAACACTTTGAATTGTACTGGGAGCCACTGTAGGTCTTTCGGGATCGGTGCCAATGGCTCCCAGTCACCAATCTGGCAGTCGCGCTCTAGATTAGTTGTGGTTTCCGAGTCACTTTCAAAGGTAGCCCCATGGACAGCACGGGCCAGTCTTGACAGACTCTAGGGTTGTGCGCCCATCTCACTTAAGAGGCCGGGGCCAGCGCTGTCCGGAGACACTTCCGGGTCACGTGGACAGTGTGACAAAGCTGCATCTGGCGAGCCAGCGCAGCACACGGAAACGCTGTTTACCTTCCCGCCAGTAAGCGGTCCCTATTTATCTAATTGCACCCGGGGGTGCTTTCGAACTGCTAGGATGGCAGGCGCTGGGACTGAGCAACGGGAGCGCACCCCGCCGCGGGGATTCGAATTGCCGACCTTTCGATCGGCAAGCCCTAGGCGCTGAGGCTTTTACCCACAGCGCCACCCGCGTCCCAAGAGTGAGATAACCCACATGCAAAACCAGAGGTTGGAGGTGACCTCAAGGACAACCCGTCTGGGGTCTTCCCTGCTTAGCTAAGGTTTCTCACCAAGGTAGTTCAAGGAAAGGTTGAGCTCCCGGATGTCGATATGCACCGATCCTTTGGGGATCCATATCACCTCTTCGTAGCCTGTGCGGCAGATGGAGATAATAAACCAAGGTAATTTTTAAGGGGGTGCTCAATGTTCAAAAAGCCAAGAGAGAAAATTTGGTGCAGGGAATTGCAAAGCACATGAAGAATTGTGTTGATGCTGTCTTCTACTAGTCAGTGCTGGGATGGGAACCTGGGAGACCAGGCTTCAAATTAGCGTTTTTTAAGGGCACTGGTCAATAGGCATCACAGGCATTGGGCAATAGGTGCTATGCACTGCTGGGAACTTCCCCAATCAAGTTCCACCTGTGCAATTTATTTTTGAAAGCATCTGCCTTGGAATAGAAAAACATTTGCCTACAACATGTCAGAACTGTCCTGGCCCCTCTCTGAGCTGTACATTTGTCCACCCATCGGGTCACCAGGCAACCCTCACCTCCGTCCGGCAGCGAGTGGTTGAAAAGTCCTTCAATGGTCTCGCAGGAGCTCCCGTCCCCTCCGCAGACCCGGCACTTGTCCTCCTTGGTGTCCGAGCCCAGGATGCGGTCGCAGCCCACGTGCTTATAGGAAACAAAAGGACAGGTTTGATGAAGGAAGTTCTTGGAAGAGTTAGGGATGGGCGATATCAGGTTTATCACCAGCTAAACACTGCGATATACTGATATATCATGATGCCTGAAATAAGGATGGAGCTATGTAGAGAGCCAGTGTGGTGTAGTGATTAAGAGTGGTGGACTTGTAATCTGGTGAACCAGGTCGCGTCTCCACTCCTCCACATGCAGCTGCTGGGCTAGTCACACTTCTCTGAAGTCTCTCAGCCCCACTCTCCTCACAGAGTGTTTGTTGTGGGGGAGGAAGGGAAAGGAGAATGTTAGCCGCTTTGAGACTCCTAAGGGTAGTGATAAAGCAAATCCAAACCCTTCTTCTTCACGGATTTTCCCTGCATCAATATTTTTGCATAGCACATACACACATCATGATTCGCGATATATTGCCAAGGTCAAAAATTAAGAAACTGATATCATGGTATGATCTTCAAACTGCTTTTGGACGATATATCGATCTATCACCCAGCCCTAATGAGCACCAACCTGCACAGCCTTAAAAGAAAACAGGCCTTTTTAAAGAGGAATAGAAGAAGACAAGAGCCTGGTTTTGGTCTGGCCAATGGCCCGTTTGGTCCAGCATCCTCTTCTCACAGTGGCCAGCCAGATTCCTCCAGGATGCCCGCAGGCAGGAGATAAAGGAGCAAGCCCTGTGCCTCTCACTGTGATTCATAAAAAAACTAAGAAGAACCTGCAGCTGGGACTCATCTAGTCCAGCCTCCTGTCTTCACAGTGTCCAATCAAATGCCCCCCTAAGAAGCCCAAGCAGGATGCGAGAGTAATAGAATCATAGAATCATAGAGTTGGAAGAGACCACAAGGGCCATCGAGTCCAACCCCCTGCCAAGCAGGAAACACCATCAGAGCACTCCTGACATATGGTTGTCAAGCCTCTGCTTAAAGACCTCCAAAGGAGGAGACTCCACCACACTCCTTGGCAGCAAATTCCACTGTCGAACAGCTCTTACTGTCAGGAAGTTCTTCCTAATGTTGAGGTGGAATCTTCTTTCTTGTAGTTTGGATCCATTGCTCCGTGTCCGCTTCTCTGGAGCAGCAGAAAACAACCTTTCTCCCTCCTCTATATGACATCCTTTTATATATTTGAACATGGCTATCATATCACCCCTTAACCTCCTCTTCTCCAGGCTAAACATGCCCAGCTCCCTTAGCCGTTCCTCATAAGGCATCGTTTCCAGGCCTTTGACCATTTTGGTTGCCCTCCTCTGGACACGTTCCAGTTTGTCAGTGTCCTTCTTGAACTGTGGTGCCCAGAACTGGACACAGTACTCCAGGTGAGGTCTGACCAGAGCAGAATACAGTGGCACTATTACTTCCCTTGATCTAGATGCTATACTCCTATTGATATTAATATTAATATCATTGATATTGATATTAATAGCCTTCTCTTGTTCTCCACCATTCTAAGGTAGACTGTCTCTGCCTATGAAGGCTCTATTTGTGAATGGGCCAGAAACTAAGTGCCAACCAGATGCCCATGATGGGAAGCCTGCAAGCAGAAGCTGACCATCACAGCAAACCTCCCTCCTGTGGCACCCAGCAACTGGGATTCAGAGGTAGACTGCCCCAGTCCAGGAGGTGATACGCAGCCATCATGCCTAGCAGCCACTGATAGCCTTATAGTCCCTGAATTTGTCTAATCCCCTCAGTTAGCCTGATCCAGCAGGCTCTTCTTATGTCCATAAATCATGTGTCCCCCCTCTAAATGGAAAAGCCCCCCAATGCATAAATCTTTCCTTGTAGAGAAAGTGGACCAACCTCCCCCTCCCGACGGTCCCAGAAGCCGCCCATTAAACCTCAGTCAGTCGGAGGCCTACGGGCAGCGAGGAGGAGTGGTTACAGCGCTGGAAAATCACCTTGCACTCTCCATTGACACAGATGTCGTTGGAGTCCTGGCGGCAGGGTGTTCCATCCACCACGGCTGCCGCCCTCTCCGTGTAGAAGTTGAAACCTTCCGCCAGGCAGTTGAGCGAACAGGACTTGACGCCTCCTGCGGAGAGATGGCAATTTCAAACCACTAGATCAGAGAGGCTGGATTGGGAATGGGTGAAAGCTGTCCCACGCCCCCCCCCCCCCGGGGTGTGTGTGTGGAAACGGCCTTACCTCCTCGGTACGTCTTCCAGGTATAATACTTTCCTCGGAAGGGGATATTATCAAACTCGGCACACTGCAGTTCTCGGAAGTCTTGCGAGCCCGGTAGGCAGTCCTGGGGTGGGGGCACAGAAAGATCACTAAATTTATTATTGGCTCTCTGGGGCTGAGGGGTGCTGCTTCTTTTAATGCCTGGAAGCAGAGATGGCGCATTCTGGACCCCACAGCTGAAAGACTTTGCTGGGAGGTGCAAGGCAGATGCTCCATGACTGAGCTATAAGGTTGGGAGCTGCTGTCACTTTTCACATCTGCCTCCCAAGGCATGTGACTCACTCTGCCTTATCATTATTAATATTTATTAAATTTGTATATCTCCCTTCACCCGAAGATCACAGGCAGCTCATGACATAAACATTCAAAACAAGAACCCAAAATACAGTTATTGATTGTGTGTGTGTGTGGGGGGGGACTCCTAAACCCTAGAAATTGACAAATGGTAAGGTAAAGGTAAAGGGACTCCTGACCATTAGGTCCAGTCATGGCCGACTCTGGGGTTACGGCGCTCATCTCGCTTTACTGGCCAAGGGAGCCGGCGTACAGCTTCTGCGTCATGTGGCCAGCATGACTAAGCAGCTTCTGGCGAACCAGAGCAGCGCACGGAAACAGCGTTTTACCTTCCCGCCGGAGCGGTACCTATTTATCTACTTGCACTTTGACGTGCTTTTGAATTGCTAGGTTGGCAGGAGACAAATGGTAGGATTTCGATTAATTGGGATGTGGAAAGTACAATCTGCAGATCTGTGCCAGACAGGGAATCCCTGGGCTGGCTTCTGCAAACCAGTCTGGCTGGCCTAGCACATAGCAAATCTGTCAACAATGGCAACGGCTTGAGCCCTAGGTTATGGGTGCCCTGTGGCAAGCACAAGATGTACAAAGAACAAATCTGTTAACATGACAAAAGGTGCTGATGTGCCATCAGAGAGGAATTCTGTGGCCTGGGGAAGCAGATGGTGCCAAGGTGATGGGTGTGTGTGTTTGAGGTGACAGGAAAAGAGTCTTTCAGCAAGGTGTGCTGGGAAGAAGAAAGGGAGAGAAGAAAGGCTGGGATCCATCTTGGGCAGGCTGGCTGAAGGCTGGCTGGGAGAGATGCCTTGGACTCCAGGGCTGCACAAGCCCCTCTTGAAATGACTGTGCTGTAAGATATGGACTCCCTCCAGGCAGACTGAAGGCGTAAACAGGGGAATAAACCACATTTCTTAAAGCTATGGCAGTCTCCACCGTGTTGCAATTCTCCAAGAGACCACAGACCATGGGTGAATGCCCAGAACCCCTTGGGATCTTGCTGCCTGTCAGCAGAGAGTGGGGGTGGCGCTCAACTTTCGTAACAATCCATTCCTTTGCCCCTACCGTCCTCCCATCCCAGAATCCCTTGCTACTCACGTCAGTGTTACAAGACCGGTAACGCTTCCGTTCCCCGAGACAGTATTTCCCACCGATCGTCGGCCTTCGGAAGAGAGAAAAGGAGGGAGACGTGGGAAATGGTGTCCCAGGGAGCACAGGGGATGTCTCGGGTGTTTATGCAAGTGTCCACTTACCGTGGGCTGTCGCAGTGGCGGATGGATGAGGAGACACCTCCCCCACAAGTCCGGCTGCACTCTCCCCATGGCGACCACGTCCCCCAGGCTCCATCCACACCCTCTGGCCGTGTGCCGAAAGGAACACACTCCCGTTTGTAGCACCACTGGCAGTCGATACAGAGGATGGAGGGAAGAAGAAGAGACCCACCGGTCAACAACAACACCCCCCACCTCGCTGGCATTCATGCGTCTGACCTCAGCGGGACTGCATGATTATGGGTAAACTGGCCGCTGGAAGGGATCCCAAAGGCCATCTAGTCCAACCCTCTTGCAAGGCAGGAATCGCTGTTGTGGGTTAGGGTACAGCAAGGGTGGCCCTGCCTCTTACCCCCCTCTCGATGGTGTTAGTCTGGCAGATGGTCCCCTCGGCCGCCGGGATGCTGTTGGTGATGCATCGGTTACTCTTGCTAAGGCACCAGAGCTCGTTGCAGACTTCCTGGAGGAGGAGGAGAAGAAGGACCAGTGGTGGGTGGGGGCGCGGGCGGAGCTGGGAGGAGGGGTGGACGGCCGCAGAGGTTGGTGGTGCTACGTGACGTCTTGGACTAAGGAGGGAGGTGGCAACTGATGACTGCAGACTGAAGGAAGGATTAAAGAAACACAACAGGTCTCTGTGGAGACTAGGTCTGGGAGATACCTGGTTTTCAACACCGTGATGCATCACCAGCTAAACATCACAATATATCACAAGGTCTGAAATAAGGAGCTATGTAAAGGCATTGGCTGGTTTCATGGTTTCCCCTGCATCATTATTTTTGCATAGCACACGTACACAGGCTGGGAGCCTCAATGTCGCTCCTCTGTAGGCTTCAGCCGGGGCAAAAAACCTGACTAGCTCCACCTCCCCGTAGCTACGGCTCTGCATTAAAGTCAATGAATTGTAGCAAACTGCACCAAACCCAGTAGACCCATTAACATCAATGGATCTGTTAAACTATGCTTTTACTCAGTGGAGTCTTAAGTCAGTGGGTTGCCTCGAATTATCTCATGCTGTGAGGAGCCCCTTGGGGTATAGGAAGGGCTACAAAGGAAGAAGGTTGCTGATTCCATTTCCCCACCCCCACCCCACCTTCTCACCGTTCCCCATCCATTAATAAGCAAAGATACTGCTTTTGAAAATCATCAAAGTGGAGAGAAAAAATTGGTGGAATTCTCAAGGGTGGAGTGCAGGGGTTAATATACAGTCGTACCTTGGAAGTCAAACAGAATCCGTTCCAGAAGTTTGTTCGACTTCCAAACGTTTGAAAACCAAATCCTGGCTTCCGAGTGGCTGCAATGTCCAATGTGGCTCCTGCAGCCAATCAGAAGCCGCAGAAGCCACATTGGACATTCGGGTTCCAAAAGAACATTCGCAAACCGGAACACTCACTTTCGAGTTTGCGGTGTTCGGGAGCCAAAAAGTCCAAGTTCCAGGGCGTTTGGGATCCAAGGCACGACTGTATTCCTTTTGAGGTGGTCAAGGGGTGATAATAATAATAATAATAATAATAATAATAATAATAATAATAATAATAATAATATGCCCCCCATCTGACTGGGTTACCCGAGCCACTCTGGACGGCTTCCAACAAATTGAAATACACTTGGAAGCATCCTTCCATTCATTCTGCAGAGCGCTCTGCAGTCTTCCCAGGTGCCCACAGTGCAATCAAATCAGTTCAGTCACAGAATCATAGAACTGTAGAGTTGGGACCCCAATGGTCATTTAATCCAACTCTCTGCAATGCAGGAGCCACATGCAAAGTATCCCTAAAGAACTGTGTTGGTAGTGCTTCCCATGAAGAAGCTTTTTCCACATCAGGAAGTGTGGTCACCCAGGGAGGCTGTGGGGCACAGAGGACATATTGCCTGGGGGAAATGTTTATTGGGAACGAAACATACACCTGCCTAAAAATGTCCGGAAGTCTCTCCAGGAACTCCCAACTGCCCCGTGAACCAGGCAGAAAAGGCGGAAGCCTCTTTCGCAGAAGGAGAGTGGTTTTTAAAAACAACAACCCGAAGGGCAGATTTCAGCCCCGCACTCCTGATTACTGCAAGAGTGGACCTTGGCTGACGCTGATGCTGCAGCTGAGGGCTGTGGCTGGTTTAAAGGCTGGCCGGTGGGCGCAAAACGCCCTGCCCATCCCTCCACCCCTCCACGTTGGGAATCAAGAGTAAAAGCAGGAAGGCTCTCTACCCCATATTTACACTGGCGAGATTTGACTCCGTACTGAAAGCGGCACTGCTCATCTGCATCGTAAGCCTGTCCTGGGGCCACCGTCGGGTAGACGAAATCCTGCTTGTGTGGAGCATTGTTCAGGCAGAGGCCCATCCCAGAGCTGGAGCAGCAGAGAGAAACAAAGGAGAAAGACATGATGGTCTGAGTGCGAGAAGAGTTTTATTTATAATGAGCTGCAATTCCACATCAACGTAGAAAAATTATTGAAAATTATGCAAGCACAGACTAAGCAACTGGCTTCACTCTTCAGCTGGTAGAGCATGAAGCTCTTAATCTCAGGGTCATGGATTCAAGTCCCATGTTGGACAAGAAGATTCCTGCATTGCAGTGGGTTGGACTAGATGACCCTTGTGGTCCCTTCCACCTCCATGATTCTGTGATTCCGTCAGACACCTAAAGTAGAATTTGGAATGGTAGCATTAAACCACCACATATTTTAATCTATAGTTTTAAAGACTGAAGCAATGGAACAAAACACACTGAATAGCCATTTCTAGTTACAAACGCTCAGTAGAAGAGTCGTATTAATCCCTTTGAACGACTCCGCTGTTTCCCTGATTTTGTCTTGGAGTAAATCTCCTCAGAATCATCCAGAACCAAGTTCAAATCCAATAACACAGCCTTCTATCCTTTTGTTCACCTCTTCATCCAGTCCCACCTGAATTCTGGACCTGTTTTGTAGGTATCTGAAGATGAGGTTGATGGGCTGCGCCATTGCTTTCTGCAGCTTCCGGCCTTGCCTGCCATGGCCGATACCTGAGCTTGGAATGCCCCCCCCCACAAGACAACCCTACTTCTAAGGGATGGGGGCCCCCTCTAAGAAGATGCATGGAATCACAGAATTGTAGAGCTGGAAGGGACCATAAGGATCATCTAGTCCAACCCCCTGCAATGCAGGAATCTTTTGCCTGACATGGGGCTCAAACCCATGAACCTGAGATTAAGAGTCTCATGCTCCACTAGCTGATCGTTGGAAAGAAATGGCCACCAACCTAGATGGCCTTAAAAAAGGATTGGACTATATGGAACTTGCCGAACTGACTGGGAGACTCCGGGACCAGAGAGAAGAGACGGTGGAAGAAGATTGGAAGAAGTTTAAAAAATATTTGAAAAAATATGTTAATATTTAAATCTTAGAAAAGCTTTGGAAGTGGATATAGGCTTATATATAGGGTTTTATATATATAGGGATATAGGGTTAGAAGTAGAAGACAGTGTATTTTAAAATAGTATTATTTGTAAGGGATAATATGTGAAGATTTTAATGGTAAAAGTAAGTATGATTAAAAAAATGGTTTAAAATTATGATATATGTAAACTGCTAAAGATGAGGTAAAATGAAAATCAGATAGGGGGGACATGGGGAAGCTCACTAAACAATGTTTAGAAAAAATAAGGATAAGACAAGAATTTGGTTGTATTGTTTGTTTTTCTGTTTGTGTTGGTTATCAGTGTTATAAAATGAATAAAAAATTTTTTTTGGACAAAGTAATGCAAGGAAGGGCTATCGATGGCTACTGCCCAAAATGGCTGCGCTCTGCTTCTGAGGCAGCAATGGTTCTGAATACCAGTTGCTGGAAACCGCGGGAGGGAAGATTGTTCTTTTGCACAAATCCTGCTTGTTGGTTTTCCACAGGCATCTGGCTGATCACTGTGCGAACAGAATACTGGACCAGATGGGCCACTGGACTCATCCAGCAGGACTCTTCATATTCTTATGCACAACAATACTAAGTATGGAAAGCAGGACCCCAAATAATAAATAAACCCAGAAGACCCCCAGCATGCAAAAGGAGCCCATTGTGTCATTTTTGTGCCCACCACTTAAAGGCCAGTTATGGAAAGCTTTTGGAACAAAGAGACAGGGAAATGAAAGTAATGAAAGTGTGCGATGCTTTGGAGACGCACAGTGGAAAACAGGCAGCCCCTTACTCAAGAAAGCTGGTTATATAGTCCCTACTGCACGTGGACCACACAAAAGGGTTGGTTTTCATGGTGATGTGAGCCGCCATCAGCTTGGCCGTCTCCTGCCCCCGGGAACCGCAGCTGTTTCCGACGCCATCGTGGTTCATGCCAAACCTGGAAGGAGAAGCATGAAGCCAGAGAAAGAAGGAGCCAGTGTGGTGTAGTGATTAAGAGCGGTGGACTCGTAATCTGGTGAACCGGGTTCGCGTCTCCGCTCCTCCACATGCAGCTGCTGGGTGACCTTGGGCTAGTCAAACTTCTCTGAAGTCTCTCAGCCCCACTCACCTCACAGAGTGTTTGTTGTGGGGCAGGAAGGGAAAGGAGAATGTTAGCCGCTTTGAGACTCGTTCGGGTAGTGATAAAGCAGGATATCAAATCCAAACATGCCAAACAGGGTTATTTGCTGCCTGCTTGGGAGTAAACAGTGTGGCAAATAGGGGAGTCTATCTTGGAATTAACTGGCCGGCAAGTGGAGAGTCTATTCTGGAATAAACTGGCTGGCAAGTGGGGGAGTCTATCCTGGAATAAATCGATCAGCAAGAAGGGGAGTGTATCCCTGAGAAAACTGACCAACAAGTAGGAGAGCCTATCCTGGCCATTCAGATGTCTTTGACATCTTTGGTACCCCTGCACCCAACCCCTCCCACAAGCTCTCTTTCGGGCCTGCGGTTCAGGACACTACAACATAGCAGAAGTGGCCCTAAAAAACATTAACCAGACACAAGGCCAAACAATTTCCACATCAACCGCACAACCAGATCTGAACTCTGCTCACGTGTGGCCGATCTCGTGGGCGATAGTGAAAGCTGTCGCCAGGCCGAGGTCTTCGTTGATGGAGCAACTCCGTTCCCGCTCACACATCCCACCCACGGGCGCCAGTCCTGGGAGAAGCAGAGCATTGTCACAGGGAGATGTTATGTCAAAGCAGATTCAGCCACGAGATCCAAAATCCTGATCTGCGCATGGCTCTGGAAGGGTAGTTTGTAGCAAAGTCCACCCTCTCCCCAACTGGAATCTGTCCTAGGTTGCGTCACAAACTGATATTGAAATGATGCCTCCCACTCTGCTCTAAAGCTGGGGGGGGGGGGGTGATGACAGAAGCAGAGCGTTTGAAATGCATTTAGTGGGGAAAGCTTCCTACCTACCTAGAGTCCCGCACGGTTTGTTTTTGTAGATGCAGATATCGTATCTAAAAAGCAGGTGCGAGAAGAAGGGAGATACAATTAAGGCATAGAATCATAGAATCATAGAGTTGGAAGAGACCACAAGGGCCATCGAGTCCAACCCCCTGCCAAGCAGGAAACACCATCAGAGCACTCCTGACATATGGTTGTCAAGCCTCTGCTTAAAGACCTCCAAAGAAGGAGACTCCACCACACTCCTTGGCAGCAAATTCCACTGTCGAACAGCTCTTACTGTCAGGAAGTTCTTCCTCATGTTTAGGTGGAATCTTCTTTCTATTCCAGCCTGCCAACTGAACACCCTGATTCCACCCTGCCAACTGAACACAGCAAATAAACAAGGGGCAGGTGGGGATCGTCCACCTGGGAAGGGAGCCCACCCAGGAGAAGGAAAACTCTGACCCTAAACCTCCACTGTCTTGTGGCCGAGACATCTTTGGGAGAGGAAAAGGCTCAGGAGTAGACCCTCCACAAAAACGGAGCAGAGTCCCTAAGACAGTTGGATGGTGCCTTGTAATGCCTTTTTCTGGCAACTCCTGCAGCCAAGCTGGTGCCAAACGTCTTGTTCTGCTTTCCTTTGGGCCACACCAGTGAGGCCACAATGAGGGTTTTGTCGTCTGGGCAGCCCAGGACCTCCAGACACACTGCCCAGGCTTGCGCCCTGGGGAGGTCACTTGGGTACTGTTAGTGCAGCTGTTTGACTTCACCCTTGGAGGCACACTCCATTGTCTCTCATGACAGACAAATGCCAACAACAACAGCTATTATGGAAATTACAGTTCCGGTGTTTTATATCTCTTATTTTGGAAAGTAGTGATGTTTGCTGCTCTTATTCTTAAAAATGGAATAAAAATTATTTAATTATGTTAAACAAACAAACACGAAGACAGAGAAACCTTTGGGTTGCGAGAGAATCTCAGCTTGCAAGGGGTTCAAACATGGACATAGCCATGGGTGTGCAGGAGGGGCAGCTGCCCCCCCAATCAAGTAAATAAATAGAAATACCTGACTGACCAATTGCTTTGCAGAAAACTCAGTTCTGCACCCCCATAATGCCTGCTCCCCCTAAAATAATTCCAACGTGGCCCACGAGACCATCTCCCCCTAACCCCGCCCACCTGTCCATCAGCTGACAGCCCTGGGTGACATCAACTGATGGCCAGCATTCAATCCTGCCAGAATCCGCTTGGCCAATGCATTCCCTGGGGCTGGGAGGATTGAACGGCCTTCTCATCAGTGGGCTAGTGGATGGTTTGATGGCCGGGGGCAGTCTGAGGTTGGTGTGCCAGTACCGTTCCCCCCCCCCAATGCACAACCAAGATGAAACAAGATGTTCCGACTTTGAAACCAACAGTTCTTTTACCACCAACATGGTTCCGGTATACCTAGTGATCAAAACGGCGGTGTCGTGATTGGCGATGCCGTTCTCCGGGATGGCGTTCCCGTTCCCATTGCGATTCACAATGGATTTCTGCCACTTGCAGAAGCTGTCGAGAGACTTTCCGGCATGGTGGTTGATCTCCAGGGTGGGCTGGAGGAAGAGGGAGAATCGTAAAGGTTTCAGAGAGAGTAAACGTATCAAATTCTCCCACTCTTTGAGACCTCCTGGACAGCATCGTTGGGGCACGTGGGGAAGGACATTTTCTGTGGCTGCACCAAGACCAGGGAGACAAAGCCCTGTAGCACATGGGGTTTCAGGAACTTACCCATGGTCTATTTCCTTTGGAGGGTTGAGACACGGCAGAGACCATTGCAACTTTAAGAAATATGGTTTACTCGCCTGTTTACACCTTCAGTCTGTGTGGCGGGAGTCCAGATCTTACAGCATGGTCATTTCAAGAGAGGCTTGTCTCACACAGCAGTGCTGTCATGGAGTCCAAGATATCCCCCCGCCCCAGCCAGCCAGCCTGCCTGCAGCCTGCCTGCCCAATATGAATCCCAGCCTTTCTTCTCCCTCTTTCTTCTTCCCAGCATATCTTGCTAAAAAAACACCCCACTTTTCCTGTCACCCCAAGCACACACTGCATCACCTTCGCAACGACCTGTCTCCTCAGGCCAAAGGATTCCTCTATCCACACCTTTCGTTATGGTAACAGATTTGCTCTTGTTAGGCCAGCCAGGCTGGTTTGCAGAAGCCAGCTCAGAGATTCCCTACCTGGCACAGCTCCATACCCCAATTAATCAAAATCCTATCATCTATTAATTTCTAGGGTTTAGGGAGGGGTCTCCCCCCCCCAACCTATAGCACATCTCTTATCACTTCCCCTGCAAATATGCTCCTCTTCCCCCACTTTATTGCCAAGGAGAGGACCCAGCAAGCAAGCAACTCACCTGGTCCTCTGTCAGTAGGATGAGCCGGGTCACCAGTATGTTGACAATATTGCCCAGACTTGAGTCTTGGAAAAGTTTAGCAACCTGACCTCCAGGAAACAAGGAAAGACCAGTGTTAAAAAACAAGACGGTTGGTGGCGGCTGAACGATGATGGGCTTTTGTATCTTTCTCAATGGGACAGAGGAAGCTGCCTTAAACCAAGACAGACCATCGGTCAGTGTAGCTCAGTAAAGTCAGCACTGACTGGCAGCAACTCTCCAGGGTTTCTATCTATCTGGAGATGCCAGGGATTAAACCTTTTGCACACTATGCAGATACTCTACAGTGAGCTAAAATATTTCTTAAAAATAAAGCAAGGTCCTATTGCTCAATATTTACTAAGATATTTGCATTTGTTTTTGTACATGAAGTTGCAAACCGTACAAGTGTCCCTATTTTCCAGCATCATTTCCGCATTTACAGAAGCCGTCCTGGTTTCTAAGTATCTCAGAATCTCCTGCTTTTCTTTAGGACATCCCTATTTTAATCGAATAAATGTTGGAGGGTATGCAATTGCTTTTTACAACTGTAATTGGTTTAATTGAAAGCATGCCCTATTTTGTGTATAGTTTATACATACATATATATATATATATATATATATTTTGGTGTCCTCGGGTGTCTTCCCGTGTAAAAGTTGGGGTGTCTAGGCGACGTTTCGATGAGGTCTCACTCGTCATCTTCAGGCTGGTGCTTTCGGCTTCTTGTTACTGGAACAGAGCAGGATCTCAGTGTTTGAGTTCCTATAAATACTGTTGAGGGGGTGTGGTGTATAGCCTCCAATGTTCTGGGCAGAGAGGAAGTTCCCAGGTTAGTGTGCCTTTTCTTCTTTTGTTCCTTAATTACTTGAGGGATATCTTGAGTGATTTCTTGAGTGATATCCTGAGTACCACTTAGGTGGGTCATTAGGTGTGGATTAGTTGCTAAAGCCTTCGTGTCTTGACCTCTTGAACTTTGTGAAGAGTTTTTCTGAGAAGATGGCTGTACTGCAATTAGTTGTGCTCTGGCTTGGCTTCGTGTATAGGGGCGAGCTGTGGTTTTGTGTCCTGTGCCAGCCAGATCTGTGTAGGGATTGCAGGGGGGTGCAGCATCCGGAGGTGCCACCATGGTTTGGCTACTGGATGGTGTCTGTAATTTATCTGTGGAGAGGGTCTGGGTTTGGGTCTGGTGTGGTTGATTGGTGATGGCGTTCTGTGTGCCTCTGGATCTGGTGTCCTGTTTCTTTCATGTGTTGGAAAAGAGAGTTTTTTCTTCTTTTTTTGACGGCATTCTTGTGTTCTGCGATACGTGCATTTATTCGTCTGTTTGTTTGTCCAATGTACGTGGCTGGGCAGACTTTGCAGGGTATTTCATAGACCCCTTGGTTTTCCAACTGGATTTTATCCTTGGGGTTTCTGAGGATATTGGCTATTTTTTGGTTGGTGCAAAAGGCTGTTTTGATATTGTGTTTATGGAGGATTTTGCTAATTTTATCTGTAGTGCCCTTGATATAAGGAAGGAGGGCCATGCCATTGTTTTCTTCTGTGTCTTGGTTTTTGGGGGGTGTTTCTTTTTGCATTAGCTTCGTAACCCTGTTTTGCTGGTATCCATTGGCGATTAACACATTGGAGAGATTCTGTAACTCAGTTGTCAAGTGGTCTTTGTCAGCCAGGCGTTTGGTTCTGGAGATGAGAGTCTTGGCTACGGAGTTTATTTGTGCAGGGTGGTGGTGTGATTGTGCATGTAAGTAGCGGTTGGTGTGTGTTTTTTTTCCCGGTAGATAGTGTGTCCTAGGGAGCCATCAGGTTTTTTGTAGATTAGGACGTCAAGGAAGGGAAGTTGGTTGTTGGCTTCTATTTCCATAGTGAATTGTATTTTGGGGTGTAGGCTGTTGAGATGTGTGAGGAAGCTATCTAGTTTTTCCTTCCCGTGTGGCCAGATTACAAAGGTGTCGTCAACATATCTGAGCCAAAGTTTGGGTTTGTGTTCTGACTTGTCTAAAGCATTGGTTTCAAAGTGTTCCATGTACAGGTTTGCGATGACCGGTGAGAGTGGTGATCCCATAGGTGCTCCTTCTATCTGTTTGTATCTTTGTCCATTGTGGATGAAGTACGTGTTGGTTAGGCAGTGGTTGGTCAGGTCCAGGATGTATTCGGGGGGATTGTATTTGTTTTGAATGGCTGTCAAGGCTTCATTAATGGGCACTTGTGTGAAGAGAGATACAACATCGAAGCTCACAAGTAGGTCATTGGGATGTAGGTTTTGCTTCTTTATTGTTTCTATGAACTGGAAGGAGTTTGTAACGTGTGAAGAGATGGATTCTGCATAGGGCTGAAGTTGCTTAGCGAGAAATTTAGCGAGATTTTGTAGAGGTGAGCCTATGGAGCTGACTATTGGTCTGAGTGGTGTTCCTTCTTTGTGTATCTTGGGGAGGCCGTAGAGTTTGGGGCATCTGGATGATTTTTCTCTGGGGATGATTCTTAGCTGGATTTCTTCACTGATAGGAGAGGCTTTTATTTTGGATTTGGTGGTTTTTTCCAGATAGGTGGTGGGATCTGTTTTTATAGGTTGGTAGGTAGGGTCTTGGAGTAGATTTGATAGTTTTGCTTGGTAGTCCGATGTGTTCATCACAACAGTGGCATTACCTTTGTCTGCTGGGAGAATGATTATGTTGTTGTCTTTCCTCAGGTTGGTGAGTGCTTTCTGTTCTTCTTTGTGTAAATTGCTTCTGGGTGGTTTGCTGGAGCAGAGGATGTTGGTGACTTCAAGTCTGATTTTATTGGCTTCATCTGGGTTGATTTTGGTTAGGCTAGCTTCGACTCCGCATATGATGTTTTCCGTGGGGATGCGTCTCGGGGCGACTGCAAAGTTGAAACCTTTGGAGAGTACTTTGGTTTCAGTTGAGGTGAGGATCCTGTCTGATATGTTATGTACTGTTTGTTTCATGGGTTGTTGTGGAGGGTGGCTGGGCTTCTGGCGTTTCTCTAGTTTGTGGAGTTTGTTGGTGTGTGTGTCTGTCTTATGTGAGGTCTCAGTTTCAGCTCTCCAGACGGCTAGTTGTTTGCATTTGTCCCAGAGTGCAGGGTGGATTTTGTTACAGAGTTTGAGGTGAAGAGTGAGCAGATCTTTGTTGGTTTGGTTTAGTAGGTTTAATTTTAATTTTAATTTTAATTTAATTTAAAATTTTAATTTTAATTTTAATTTTGGTTTAGTAGGTTTAATTTTGCAGATTCCAAATTGCTCTCTAACATGGAACATCACCACAAGAGAATAATCATGGAAGCCATCGAGATAGAGAAACACCCTCACAACATGAACAAGCGTGACGACACATCCCGCCTGCCAGACATCTGGAAATTAGCCCTCCCCACAAAAACCGACACCAGATCCAGAGGCACACAGAACGCCATCACCAATCAACCACACCAGACCCAAACCCAGACCCTCTCCACAGATAAATTACAGACACCATCCAGTAGCCAAACCATGGTGGCACCTCCGGATGCTGCACCCCCCTGCAATCCCTACACAGATCTGGCTGGCACAGGACACAAAACCACAGCTCGCCCCTATACACGAAGCCAAGCCAGAGCACAACTAAGTGCAGTACAGCCATCTTCTCAGAAAAACTCTTCACAAAGTTCAAGAGGTCAAGACACGAAGGCTTTAGCAACTAATCCACACCTAATGACCCACCTAAGTGGTACTCAGGATATCACTCAAGAAATCACTCAAGATATCCCTCAAGTAATTAAGGAACAAAAGAAGAAAAGGCACACTAGCCTGGGAACTTCCTCTCTGCCCAGAACATTGGAGGCTATACACCACACCCCCTCAACAGTATTTATAGGAACTCAAACACTGAGATCCTGCTCTGTTCCAGTAACAAGAAGCCGAAAGCACCAGCCTGAAGATGACGAGTGAGACCTCATCGAAACGTCGCCTAGACACCCCAACTTTTACACGGGAAGACACCCGAGGACACCAAAACCTGCATTCCTGTACCCGTGAAAATCTACGAAAGCAAATATATATATATATACACACACACACACACACACACATACATATAACTATACTATATATGCGTATGTATATATACATATATATATATGTAGATATGTATATGTATGTGTGTGTGTGTGTAGTGTGTGTATAACTTAAAAGATGCTTCATAGGAAGCGATTAAATTAATGAAATCTATTACACACAATTATATATACGGGGCTGCTTCCCCTACTTCTGTTGCTCACTAACTCCAGCTACCCCCACCAACCTCATGCTAACCCCAGCACCCCTCTTGTCAACCCTCTTTACATCTCACCCAAACCCTATCCTCTCACAACTCCTTCAAGCCCTCCATCCCTGCTTTATTCAAACCTCTGCTTTCATTTATAGCCACCATTTTGCTCTCCTCCCTCGCCCTGAATTCATGCAAATCCAGGATTGTGCTGAGCCAATTTGTAGCTGCGTGACGACAGCCTTACGTTTCTATGTATATAGGAAGATACATTTCCCAAACGAAAACAAACAGCTAAACAAAGGCGGACCTTTGGCAAATTGGAGTCAGCCTCCAATAACCGGAGTTAATCATTATCCAAACTGGAGTTAGTTGATGTGTGTAAATGGACTTCAGGAAGCACTGAGGTACCAGTGGCTGGGTGCTTGGTTATAACACTTACAATATTCATGATGGCCAGGATGTACTGCTCGATGTCCCGCCGGCCGTGGTAGCCCACCATCATTTTGTCGGCCACCACGAGGGTCTCCACGTAGCGCTCCGTGCTGACCGACCTCTTCAGCGGAAGCTGCCCCCGTTGGGTGAAGTTGCTCAGCGTCTTCGCTGGGGAGGGTTTCAAGGCCCGCAGCCACCACGGGCGGCCCTTCCACGGCTTCTCGTCTGAAGGGGAAACGGCTGTGAGGCAGACTTTCTTTCTCCTCTGTCCCCCCCACAATCCCAAAAACCTGCTAGGCCCGACAAATCCAGGTGCCGGCTAGGTCTGGCTAGTCTCTAAAACATACTAGGCCTGGTCAATCCCTGAGGCTTAGTAGGCCAGGTCAACCAGCCAGCTAATCTTTAAGATGGACTACTAGGCCCTATCAAACTCTAAGGCCTACTAGGCCCGGCCAGTCCATGGCTTGGCCAACTTGCCCCCCCCCAAGGCCTGGTCAGTCTCTAAATCGTACTAGGCTTGGCCAATACCTGAGGCCTTCTAGGCCCAGAAAATCCCAGAGACCTACTAGGCCCAACCAATCTCCAAGGCCTAGTAGGCTTGGAAAATCCCTGAGGCCTACTAGGCACAGTCATTTCCTGAGGCCTGCTAGGCTCCAGTCAATCCTCAAGGCCTTCTAAGCCTAGAAAATCCCTGAGGCCTACTAGGCCCAGCCAATCCTCAAGACCAACTAGGCCTGAAAAATCCCTGAAGCCTACTGGGCCCAGCCAATCCTTGGCCAATTCCTGAGGCCTACTAGGCCCGGCCAATCCCCAAGGCCCAGTAGGCCTGGAAAATCCCTGAGGCCTGTTAGGCCCAGTCAATCCTCAAGGCCTTCTAAGCCTCGAAAATCCTTGAGGCCTACTAGGCCCAGCCAATCCTTGGCCAATTCCTGGGGCCTACTAGGCCCGGCCAATCTCCAAGGCCTAGTAGGCCTGGAAAATCCCTGAGGCCTACTAGGCCCGGCCAATCCTCAAGGCCAACTAGGCCTGAAAAATCCCTGAAGCCTACTAGGCCCAGCCAATCCTTGGCCAATTCCTGGGGCCTACTAGGCTCCCCCAATCCTCAGGATCTACTAAGCGGGAAGGTAAACAGCGTTTCTGTGCGTTCTGGTTTCTGTCACGGTGTCCCGTTGCGCCAGAAGCAGTTTAGTGCTGCTGCCCACATGACCCGGAAAGCTGTCTGTGGACAAACGCCGGCCTGAAGCGAGATGAGGGCCGCAACCCCAGAGTCGCCTTTGACGGGACTTAACCGTCCAGGGGTCCTTTACTTTTCCTTTACTAGGCCTGAAAAATCCCCGAGGCCTACTAGGCCCAGCCAGTCCTCAAGGCCTCCTAAGCCTGGACATTCTCTTGAGACCACCTAGGCCTGGACAATCGCCCATTTTAAGGGCCATGTTATGTACTGAGTTGAATAGGATCCAAAATGCAGCAGTCTGATTGGTCCTAGAACAATAGGATCCAGAATGCAACAGTCGGATTGGTCCTAGAACAATAGGATCCAGAATGCAACAGTCTGATTGGTCCTAGAACAATAGGATCCAGAATGCAGCAGTCTGATTGGTCCTAGAACAATAGGATCCAGAATGCAACAGTCTGATTGGTCCTAGAACATAGGATCCAGAATGCAGCAGTCTGATTGGTCCTAGAACATAGGATCCAGAATGCAGCCGTCTGATTGGTCCTAGAACAATAGGGTCCAGAATGCAGCAGTCTGATTGGTCCACAGGAGCCACCCAATCCAGCTCCAGGTGGAAGGGAATCCGCAACCTGATTGGCCTACAGGAGAATCCCGGAATCAGCCAATCACGTGGGGCCCATTGTGTAAATAATGTATATAAAGCAGACATTCTGGGGGAACATCCATTCCTCCTCACCACTATGAGCTGAATAAAGAGCATGAAATCCACTCTCAACTCTGAGTATATTTCAGGCCACTTCCAGATTTCAGGAACAGTATTGGGAACTAAACCGGCCCGGATCAGGAGGCAGAGCAGCTTTTGAAAGAGCCCGGAATGCAGAGCGCCAGTTGCTTGTTTTGGGGACTGTTATCTTTCCAAGAAACAAATTGGAAGCAGATTCGCTCCTGCCCAGAGAACGCAGGGAATGACCAGAGCGCTTGAAGAGGGCAGCAGAAGGCCGCTTGGCAGCATTCAATGCAAAATGGCTTTGACAGTGTCCTCTTCTTTACTCCTTCTGGTATCCGGGAATCCGATCCTTTGGATTCCAGCTCCTAAGTTAGCGGGAGGCGTGTGTCTCCCCCACAAAGGCAAACCGGAATCCAAAACCACATCCTTGAACCAAGCGTCTGTTAGGTCAAAATGCATTCCTCACTGAGCCTCCCAGATGGCTTTCAAAATTACTACCGCCAAGCAGATTTCTGGCCTGTTTCGGCTCGAGGGCCACATTCCTATATGTGCAACAACTCAGGGGCCACACGCCAGCCGCGGGCAGGACCAGAGGCAAAAGCGGGCAGAAAGTGGCGGACTCTCCCTTGGAGATTTCTAAGCAGAGGTTGGGTGGCCATCTGCCAGGGAATCTTTAACTGCGATTCCTGTCTTGCGGGGGTTGGACTGGATGACCCTTGGGGGTCCCTTCCAATTCTACAAATGGGTGCTTTCCAAAAAATGCGTTGATGGTTGTTCAGTTGTTATAAATCATATTTCGCAGTTGAAATCAGCTTACATCAATCGGTCAAGACTCCTAGCTTGACGCTATTCTCTTTTTTTGTGGCTGGATGCTCAGTGGAAAAAAAGCAGGACAGGAATACTTTAAATAAACACCCAAATACTTACATAAGGGTGTTTCACTTCCTGTTGCTTTGAAGCTGCAAAGCCCAACCCTATGAGTGTTTACTCAGAAATAAACCCCGCTACGTTCAGTTGGGGCTTACTCCCAGATAAATATGCAGAAAAGAGTGGGGGAACGTTGCACCGCCTGGGGGCCACATTTCATCCTTGGAAACCTTCCAGGGGCCAGGTGGGTTGAAAGGCAAAAGCAGGCAAGTTTCTACACTCAGAAACACCCATAGCTATCAACTTACAGATTTGAAAATAAGGGACCAGCAGCCTCGGAAATAAGGGATCAACAGACAAAATAAGGGATTTTCCAAGCACAGGTATGTTCAACTTCTGAGCCCCTCCGAGCCAAAGGCAGAAAGCCCAGCCAGCAGCCAAACGAAGCCTCAAGCGGTGGTTCCCACAGCGCAGCAACCCGGCAAAGGGGATGCAGCAAGGAAAACCAGTGTCCCCTCTCAGCTGGGAAGCGCTGAGCAAAGGCGAGTCCCCAGGCAAAGCGGCCGATTTGATGGGCACAAGGCATGCAAGCTCCACCCCCCAGTCGTTCTCAGACTCCTTATTGGCTGAGCAACGCAGCCAAGCAACACAGTTGGAGCCTCCCTCCTCCCTGACCAACAGGGAGCTGCTTCCTTTGAAACCCGGGAAATTGAAGGGACATCATCCATAAGGGACAGCAGCGGGAAACGGCACTGGGATAAGGGACTTTCCCGCCAAATAAGGGACAGCTGACAGCTATGGAAACACCCCTTCTCTTTACCCTCCATCCCAGCAAGAGAGGCAAGTAAGGACTGCATCCCAGCCATACGAACGCCATAGCTCAGCTGGTAGAGCAGGAGACTCTCAGGGTGGTGGTTCGAGCCCCATGTTGGGTGGAAGGTTCCTGCCTTGCAAGGGGTTGGACTAGATGACCCTCGTGCCCCCTTCCAATGTCTGTAGTGTTTATCCACCCGGATCTGGCCCACGGCATACCTAGCACCCCACAGGCGGCGTCCATGTGTGGGTGCTGGAGAGACGATCTCTTGTAGACCACATGGGGACTCCCTTCGCTCTCGTGCCCCCCACTGATATTGGTGCCGGGGCTCAGGGGCTCAATGAAGTACTCCTCGCCGTCTGCGATGATCACACCATGCTGGAACGAGAAGCGGAGAGGAACGTGCAAAGCGTTTATACGTGGGTCTGCCTCTGAAGATGATCCAAAAACTTCAGCGGCCAGATCACTCACCAGAACAAGGCGGTTTGAGCACAAATCCTGGCGCAACCGCACTGGCCGCCAATTAGTTTCCAGGCCCAATTCAAAGTGCCGGTGCCAACCTTACAAAACCTAGCACAGCTCAGGACCTCAATACCTTAAAAACAGCCTCTCCCTGTATGAACCAACCCGGGCCCCACACTTGTCACCAGAGTCCCTTCTCTATGTCCCCCATGCCAGTGGCAGCAAGAGAACGGGGTCTTTTCTGTGGTGGCTCCCCGATTGTGGCATGCTCTCCCCAGAGAGGCTCGCCTGGCAGCATCACTACATGTGCCAGGCAAAAATATTCGTCTTTGCCCAGACCGATGGCTATTAAATTATGGCCTGTGAAAGTGTGGCAGAGAAAACTGTTATGACGACTGCTTTCTTATTAGGCTGTCTGTCAGTTTGCTTTTTATTATGTTTGTATCACTGATGTTCTGAAATGTGTTTTTAATGTTGTACACTGCCCTGGGATTTTCTGATAAAGGGTGGTATATAAATTGGAATTAATGATGATGATGATGATGATGATGATGATGATGATGGCTACTAGCCATTAACGGCTGTGGTTTGATCTGGACGGCCACTGCGAGAGCAGGATCCTAGGCTAGATGGGCCGCTGTCCTGACCCAGCAGGCTGCTCTTACGTCCTTATGTTTTGCACCCCCAGGGTGACCCTGCCCACAAGCCACGAGGCGACCCCCCCCCTCCTTCCCGGCTGCTCTCTCTCCGGCTGACGCTCGAGTTTTCGGCCGGACTCCTTGCCAGCCTAGCCTCACACTACCCCGCTTGTCCTCGGAAGCATGGCTTGCAGCCAAGACCAACAAAGCTTTCGTCCGGAAAGGAAATCCACAGCAAGGCCATCAACACCGCCCCTTTCTGGGGCTGGGAAACCAGAAACTTTTCATTACACGCACACAGAAGTGATTCAACTCTGGTTCTTTGTGGAGGGGGCTTGGAGGGAGAGAGAAAAAGTTGGGGGACCCACAGACCAACGGATAACCATGCTAGAAGATTTCCAAATGCTTTAAAAGAGAGAGAGCAGGGGAAACTCTTATTTTTTTGAGAGTTAAAATCGCCCTGGGAGGAGGGCTTCCCTTCCCATCTAATCCTGCGCTGCTCGACAATATTCCTTTTCATTCCGCTGCAGAGACGGGAGAGAAATTCGGCCTGCATTCGGAGTCGCATCGGAAAGGTTGCAGTGCCTGCGGCATTCGAGTTTAGGGAATTCGTGGGCATGCAATGAAGCTGAACGTTGGAAGATTCAAGACAGATAAAAGGGAGTCCTTGTTTACGCAGTGCAGAGTTAAACGATGGAACTCCTTGCCACAGGAGGCTGCAATGGTCACCAACTTGGATGGCGTTAAAAGAGAATTAGATTCGTGGAGGAGAGGGATATCAGTGGCTAGAACAGGATGCTGTGCTAGATGGGCCGTTGGCCTGATTCAATGGGCTCTTCCTGGGTTCTTAAAATGGTGTCCGGTCGAATTTAAACACTGACAAAAACCTGCATCTCAGGAACAATCCAGCCAAATCTGGTTGGTATCATTGCAGTTTTGAAAGTTTTAGTCCACCATCTTGATTCAGAATGGCACCTGTCAGTATCCAAATGCAGTCATACCTCAGGTTACAGACGCTTCAGGTTGCGTTTTTTCAGGTTACCGACCTGCCAAAACCCGGAAGTACTGGAACGGGTTACTTCCGGGTTTCAGGGGTCGTGCATGCGCAGAAGCACTAAATCACGCTTTGCACATGTGCAGAAGCGCCGAATTGCAACCCATGCATGCGCAGACGCGCCGCTGCAGGTTGCAAACGCTGCGGGTTGCAAATGTGCATCCCGCACGGATCATGTTCGCAACCCGAGCATCCACTGTATAGATGAAAACCTGCACCTTGATCCCAGGTACCGTCTTGCAGACCTCCAAGTGTCCCAATTTCCCAGGGACAGTTGCAGATTTACAGAAGCCGTCCCGGTTTCTGATTTGATCCCGGAATGTCCCGCTGTTCCTTTGGACATCCCTATTTTCGTCAGAGATATGTGGGAGGGGATAGAGTTATGCAACCCCTGAGCCAAGGAGATCCAGTAACTAGACAACTTTTAGAAGATATCTGAAGGCAGCCCTGCATAGGGAAGTTGTTGTTGCTCTTGTTGTTGTTGAATAAAAGGTAAAGGTAAAGGTACCCCTGCCCGTTGTGGCCAGTCTTGACAGACTCTAGGGTTGTGCGCCCATCTCACTCAAGAGGCCGGGGGCCAGCGCTGTCCGGAGACACTTCCGGGTCACGTGGCCAGCGTGACAAAGCTGCATCTGGCGAGCCAGAGCCGCACACGGAAACGCCGTTTACCTTCCCGCTAGTAAGCGGTCCCTATTTATCTACTTGCACCCAGGAGTGCTTTCGAACTGCTAGGTTGGCAGGCGCTGGGACCGAGCAACAGGAGCGCACCCCGCCACGGGGATTCGAACCGCCAACCTTTCGATTGGCAAGCCCTAGGCGCTGAGGCTTTTACCCACAGCGCCACCCGCGTCCCTAAATATTGTTGAATAGGATGTCCCTAATTTCCCCGGAGAAATGTTGGAGGCTATGATCTTGCAAAATTTGGCAGCGAGGTCTTAAGAGGTGTCTGAAGGCATCGTGAACAGGCAAACAGCTTTCCAAAATCAGTGGGGAGAGTTCCTGCCGGACTAGATTTTAGCATGACCCAGCAGCCAGGAACATCTTAATTTCTTACTCCAGAATCCGTTCCGGGATCTTGCATGGTTAGGAAACTGTCTGGGGGTGCGTGTTGGGGGCGTTTACTGAGTTACCGCCATGTCCTTGGGCTGGGAGCCAAAGAGACAGTGACAACAGGAGAGGCATTGCAAAATTTCCCTCCTTGAATTGTAAAGAGGGAAAGAATGAGTGTCGGGTTGAGACACCAAGGAGGAGTGAAGAGTGGAAGGAGTCGCCCACGGAAGGTCTGCAGAACCTTTCCCCCAAAGTGCAAACCTTTTCCACTCGGAAGGAATAGCATAAATCTCTCTTTGGGAATGATAATAATAATGGTTTTATTTTGTATATGCTACCCATCTGACTGGGTTTACCCAACCACACTGGGCGGCTCCCAACAAAATATTAAAAACACAATAAAACATCAACCATTAAAAGCTTCCCGGTACAGAGCTGCCTTCAGATGTCTTCTAAAAGTTGTGTGGGGTTTTTTTAATCTCTTTGTTCCGCAGGGAGGGTGCCACTGCTGAGAAGGCCCTCTGCCTGCTTCCCTGTGACTTCACTAGAATCTTACATCGTTTTTAGGGAGTGATGAGGACTAGAACCTTGCCCTGTTGTTGTTGGGGTTTTTTAGGGGAGGGTCCCAGGCCTAGCACAGACGAGGCTGAGTCGGGGGGCAGCTTACCAGCCCGTTGCAGTTGCTGATGGCGACTTTGGAGTTGAGGTACTCGTCTTGCAGGTGGCCAGAGTAGTGGCAGTCCTCGTGGAACTCGTGCTTCCGGTCGACCCCGTCGTGCCGCCAGTACTCCACCCGGAACCGCTCCGCCAGCAGGTTCGTGTGCAGCGTCAGGTTGAGGAGGAACTGCGCCCGGTGGGCGGAGACCCTGTAGAAGACCTGCTGCTCCCGGGGGGGCTCGTGGGAGGGGGCCCCCGTTCCGCGCCGGGCCCGCCGCTTTCGCGGGCTCTTCACGTCAAACGTCAGGAAGTCCCCATTCTGGTCCACCTGCACGGGGAAGGCGATCTCATAGTGGTCGAGGCTTGAGAGGAACTCCTCTGGATCAGGGAGAAGGAAATGCAGGGAGAGAAAAGAAATGCACGTGGGTGAATCGGGACCTGGGTTCAGTGCCCTGGCCATTCCCAGGGTTTTGCTTGGCGTGGCAATGCATGTTCATTTCGCAAGAGAGAGATGGGGTGCCCCTAGGGCCTTCTAGATGCTGTTGGGGTCGAGTTCCCACATCCCCTCTGACCGATGGTCACACTGGCTGCTGGGAGTTGGGAGTCCAGCTGCTCCAGCAGCACTAAGTGGGCCACAGTTTTTGCCACCCCCAGTCTTGGACACCCCTTCTAAATAGAGGTGTTCCTCCGACTATATCTGGATGGATACAGGCCTAGTGAGCAAAGCAAATCATCTCTGGCAGGTCTTGCCCCCACGAAGCAGCTGCCTGAGTCCCATCCAATCCAGGATTTCCCCCAAGCAATCGGAGACTGTGCCTGCACACAGGCAACCTCTCCTCTGCCCTCTTCACACCTCTCCTGGTTCTGGGGGACAAGAAGGGAAGGGAGCTTGTCACAGCAAGAGGGGGAGACACCTGTGACGCTTCACCATCTCTGCCTCTTGGCCTCCCTCCTCTCCTGCTGCAGCCTTTGATTCTGGACTGCTCTCTGGCACAGACTGTCCCTGCTCACTAAGCCCTGCTACCCTTTCAGCTTCCAACATCTCCTTACCCCAGTCCTCCCTTTTCTCCTTCTGCCCACTAATGACCTTACAGGCTCTGAGGCGTCTTCCCTTGAGGGTCTCCCAGCTGGTTCCTCGCACTGTTCCTCTCTGTCCATCTAGTATGTGACATCCCAGAAGAGGCAGTCTCCCATCTCCCCCACCCAATTTGGCCTCTGTCCTCGCCTCTGGAAGGCTGCCCAGAAGTAAAGGCAGCCCCCAGGTCAAGAAAGCTTCCTTTCCCCTGCCTTGAGGTCTGGTAAGTAAGTCGTTATATTACGGTCAATGACCAGTATCAAAACATTGAACACCAACTGCAAAATTAAAAAACCCAGAACAAAGTAAAGTAATCTAAAACATATACATAAGAATAATGGGGGGGGGGCTTTCTGATCTAGGAATGTTTGTTGGACAATGTGTTATAATCCTGGGTAATACTACTACTACTATTAATATTACTAATACCTCACCCATCTGACTGACTTCCTAAAATATAGAAAATAATAAAATGTCAGACATTCTAAAGTTCCCTATACAGGGCTGCCTTCAGGTGTCTTCTAAAAGTTGTGTAGTTCTTCATCTCCTTGACATCTGCTAGGAATTGCGTTCCACAGGGAGGGTGCCACCACCGAGAAGGCCCTTTCCCCCTGTTCCCTGCAACCTCACTTCTCACAATGAGGGAACCGCCAGAAGACCCTCAGAGCTGGACCTCAGTGTCCGGGCTGAATGATGGGGGTGGAGACACTCCTTCAGGTCTACAGGGCCGAGGCTGTTTAGGGCTTTAAAGGTCAGCACCGACACTTTGAATTGTGCTCGGAAATGTACTAATCATTGCATGTTGTATTTTAATTGCTGCTGCCCCAAATTTGGCCACCTTGTGTGTCACACCAGGGTTGTTATCTAGGAGCGACAGAGTGGCAAGAAACTGTTCAGTGTACAATCATACCTCGGGTTACAGCTGCTTCAGGTTGTGGAAGTACTGGAACAAGTTACTTCCAGGTTTTGGCAGTTGCGCATGCACAGAAGCGCTAAATCGCGCTTTGCGCATGCGCAGAAGCGCCGAATCACAACCTGTGTGTGTGCAGGCGCTGGTTGCGAACACTTCGGGTTGTGAACATGCATCCCGCACGGATCACCTTTGCAACCCGAGCGTCCACTGTATTTCAGTATATTTATGGAGTATTGGCCGAATAAGGCCAGAGTGTAACTCTCTATAAAACTAGCACTGAGAACTAGGAGCTTGGGGCTCAACCCGCGCTCCCTTGCCCCGCCGCCCCCCCCCCCCGTACCTTGCGACTGGAAGGCGTAGCCTGGGAGGTTGCCCACGGACACGGCCGAGACGAGGGTCCAGGTTAGAAGCCTCCAGGCCGTCGCCATAGTGGGCTAGGATGCTCTCTGCGATGGGGGCCGAGGGGGTCTGCCCCAACATTGCTTTCGCTGAGCCGCCACGCTTGCTTAGACAGGGGTCCCCCGTTCCTGGGTGGCCATCCTCGGCCGCTGGGTGCTCTGCAGGAGGCGGCAAGGGCGGGGCGGGCGTCACGGCGGGGAGGGGCTGGTCCTCGGCGATCAGCATGTGCCAGGAGTCTGCGGCATCGCTCTGTCGGAGAGGAGCATCACAGAATCACAGAACAGGAGAGTTGGAAGGGACCACAAGGATCATCTCGTTCAAGCCCCTCCAAAGCAGGAACCTTTTGGCCAAGCGTGGGGCTCTGAGATGGATACCCTCCAACATTTCTCCGATGAAAGTAGTAATAATAATAATAATAATAATAATAATAATAATAATAATTTATTAATTGTATCCCACCCATCTGGCTGGGTTTCCCCGGGCACTCTGGGCGGCTTCCAACCAAGATTAAAAATACATTAAAATGTCACACGTTAAAGACTTCCCTAAACAGGGCTGCCTTTCAGATGTCTTCTAAATGTCAGGTATACAGTGGTACCTCGGGTTACAGATGCTTCAGGTTACAGACACTTCAGGTTACAGACTCCGCTAACCCAGAAATAGTACCTCGGGTTAAGAACTTTGCTTCAGGATGAGAACAGGAATTGTGCGGTGGCAGCGGGAGGCCCCATTAGCTAAAGTAGTATCTCAGGTTAAGAACAGTTTCAGGTTAAGTACGGACCTCTGGAATAAATTAAGTTCTTAACCTGAGGTACCACTGTAGTTGTTTATTTCCTTGACATCTGGTGGGAGAGTGTTCCGCAGGGCGGGCGCCACCACTGAGAAGGCCCTCTGTCTGGTTCCCTGTAACTTGGCTTCTCCCAATGAGGAAACCGCCAGAAGGCCCTCGGCACTGGACCTCAGCATCCGGCAGAATGATGGGGGTGGAGACGCTCCTTCAGGTCTACTGGACGGAGGCCGTTTAGGGCTTTAAAGGTCAGCACCAATACTTTGAATTGTGCTTGGAAACGTCCTGGGAGCCAGTGAAGGTCTTTCCAGACCGGAAGGTCTTTCCAGACCGGTGTTATGTGGTCTTGGCGGCTGCCCCCAGTCCCCAGTCTAGCTGCCACATTCTGGATTAATTGCAGTTTCTGGGTCACCTTCAAAGGTAGCCCCACGTAGAGCGCATTGCAGTAGTCCAAGCGGGAGATAACCAGAGCATGTCCAACAACAGCAGCAGCAATTGTTGTTTTATTGTTTATATCCCACACATCTTGCCCCAGCCACTCTGGGCGGCTTCCAACATATGTGAAAACATATTAAAACATTGAACACCAACAACTTCCCTATCCAGGGCTGCCTTCAGATGTCTTCTAAAGGTTTTCTAGTTACTGCGGGAGTCTGCCATGGAGGCAGAGCTGTTGTGGCTCATAGAGGAGATTTTGTGGCTCAAGAAAGAGAAAGATAGTGAGGGTGAAAGAAAGGAGGACAGAAACTGCGATGTGCTTGGGGCACAAAAACAGTGGGGAGAGCGGCAAGGGAGAAGGACACAGAGAGGATTAGTTTACATCTTAATTCCACCCCCCCTAAAAATCCAGATTGTTGTTGAAGGGAAGGAGAGAGGGAGAGCGTCTGTTCCCAATTTTGCCACTGGGTCTGCAGACAGCTCGGCCGCGCTGGCTTTGGATCCAGCTGCAGAGGAGAGTAATGGGAAGCAGATGGGCTGGAGGGGTCCCTCTCCGCCTGCGAAGAAGCGAGGAAGGATTTTTGCAAGGCAGGCAATGGGACCCGTGGACCTTGAGCTCTTCTTTTGCAGACCGGGAGCTCGGAAACGTGGTTATTTCATCACCGGGCGATTGCTGACACAAGTCTGACCCAGGGAAGGCCCATCCAAGTTGACGGCTTTAAATTCAGTGGGTCTACACTGAGTAGGTCTCGGCTGGGGGATTTAGGGGTAGCAGACTCTCGTCTGTTTCAGGGTCTCTCTGTCCCCCATCTTAAAAACCGACTCAGCGCAACTGGGAGCCAGTAGTGGCATAATGGTTAGAGTGTTGTACTAGGACCCGGGTGTGTGTGTGACCCGGGTTCAAATCCCCCCCCCACTTGGCCACAAAGCTCACCGGATGCCCTTTGGGGGGGGCAGTCTCCCTCTCTCTCAGCCTATCCTCCCCCAGGGCCAGGGCCTTCTCAGTGATGGCTCCCACCTGGTGGAATGCTCTGTCCCAGGAGACCAGGGCCCTGCAGGAATTAACCTCCTTCCACAGGGCCTGTAAGACAGAGCTATTCCGCCTGGCCTTTAATTTGAATTCAGCCTGATCTTTTATTTCCCTTCCCTTCCCCTTTTATGAAGATCACCCGCTCTGAGACCCCACAGCTAATTCTCCCCTGCGCTCCTCGCTGGCCCAAGTAGAACCAATTCAGCCAGCTAGCCCTGGGGATTATCTAATGCTTATTTCCCCTAAACTGATTTTTGAATTTTACTGTTATTCATGTTTTTATACTGTATTTTATGCTGCTTTTATAATGGTTTTAAATTTGTTGTTAGCCGCCCTGAGCCCGGTTTTGAACCGGGAAGGGGGGGTATAAATAAAATTTTATTATTATTATTATCCTACCTCGCAGGGTTGATGTTGTGGGGTTAAGTAAGGAGGGGGAGTACTGTGTATGCCACCCCGAGCTCCGCAGAGAAAAGGTGGGATCTAAACGCAATAAATAAAGAGATAGTTTTCAAGAGCAACAACCGCAAAAGTCTCAAGGAAACTGATCAGAGAGGTAAAGGCATGAGAGTGGAATAAAACCATAGCATCATAGAACTGTAGAGTTGGAAGGGGACCCCAAAGGTCATCCAGTCCAACCCCTGCAATGCAGCCGAAGAACCCATGACAATGGCCACCCAATTTCTGCTCAGAAACTTCCAAGGAAGGAGAGTCCACAACTTCTGTTCCGCTGTCACACAGCTCTTACTGCCAGAAAGGTTTTTTCTCCTGATGTTTAGTCAGAATCTCCTTTCTTGTAACTTGAAGCCATGGGTTCAAGTCCTACCCTCCAGGGCATGAGAAAACAAGCTGGCTCCATCTTCATTGTGACAGCCCTTGAGATATCTGAAGATGGCTCTCCTATCTCCTCTCGGTCTCCTCTTTTCCAGCCTAAACATACCCAGCTCCTTCAACCGTTCCTCATCAGGCTTGGCTTCCAGAATGTAGCAAAATCTACATACTGCTTGATTGTGGTAAAACCTCTGAGCACATACATAATTTTATTTGTATGCTGCCTCTGAGTAGGACAACTCTATGATCTGAAGACGTGTGAGGAGTCAAGGGTGTCCCACAAGCATGTGAGGAGTGCAAGGACAGACCAATCTGTCCATTTCGGTTCCTCTCAGCTCCTCGTTCTTCCATTCTTAAAGGTCAGATTCTGCATGCTGACACATCAGTTGGTGCTTTGTTTTTTGAAAGTCCTCACGAAAGTTCACTCGCGCTTTCCTGCAGATTTCTGCAGGCTTGACTAATAGACCAATTTTGGTTTTGCAAAGCAATTTCTTCCAAAAGAGCACCTTATTTTCTATTCCATCACCCAGGTCAGCCATTTTTGCACATTACCTGGCCAGAGAACCATTTTACAGAATTGGGAAAAGTGCACATTTCAACGAACAGCTCCTTTTGTTTTGTTTGTGTGCCATTTCAGAAAATGCAGTTCGCCTCGGTGCAAACTGAATAGATTTTCCCCCCCTCTCCCCATACCTAGATATAATAATAATAATAATAATAATAATAATAATAATAATAATTTATTATTTATACCCTGCCCATCTGGCTGGGCTTCCCCAGCTACTCTGGGCGGCTTCCAAAAAAATATTAAAATACTGTAATACATCAAACATTAAAAGCTTCCCTAAACAGGGCTGCCTTCAGATGTCTTCTAAATGTCAGGTAGTTGTTTATCGCTTTGATATCTGATGGGAGGGCGTTCCACAGGGCGGGAGCCACCACCGAGAAGGCCCTCTGCCTGGTTCCCTGTAACTTGGCTTCTCGCAGGGAGGGAACTGCCAGAAGGCCCTCAGAGCTGGACCTCAGTGTCCAGCAGAACGATGGGGGTGGAGACGCTCCTTCAGGTATACTGGACCGAGGCCATTTAGGGCTTTAAAGGTCAGCACCAACACTTTGAATTGTGCTCGGAAACGTACTGGGAGCCAATGTAGGTCTTTCAAGACTGGTGTTATGTGGTCTCAGCGGCTGCCCCCAGTCACCAGTCTGGCTGCCGCATTCTGGATTAGTTGTAGTTTCCGGGTCACCTTCAAAGGTAGCCCCACGTAGAGCGCATTGCAGTAGTCCAAGCGGGATACAAGATATCCCTTTCAGAGAAGGTCGCTACCTGATCAGAAATTCAACTGCCATGTCCCCGAATGCCTTCATGCTAAAAAGGGCACCACGGGGTGAACTGCACACCCGTCAGGCAGCTATTAAAGGCTCCAAATATAAAAAGAGGCCATGGCCCTTAGCTTTGAAACATCTGAAATGGAGGTAAAAAGAGAATGCTCACCTCCAGCCTCCTCCTAACCCCGGCTCTCATTTTTAATTATTACTAAGCCCAATTATTTACACTCTCAGCCCACCAGACGTCACTGAGCGAATGGCTTGGCTTTTCAACTCAAATTTGCTCAGATGATTAAAACAACAGGTTGCGAGGGATTAATTGAATTGAGCCTGTGGTGCATTGGAGTGTGGGTTTTTTTAAAAATAAAATTGGACGGAAGGGAATGCTTTTAAGGATCCAATCAGAGCATATGACCCAGAGCTCCGAGCCAGATACCCAGCTTGAAGAAGGAAAAAACCACACAGCTATTGACTTATTTTTCGTGGGCACCCGAAGAGCGGCCGAGACGAGGCAGCACGTTTAAGCTTGTTGGGAAGGTAGACATGTAATCCCGCAATGCCCAATTAGCAGATACAGGTAATTAAAAGGTTGTCAGAAAGTTGGGAGGAAAACACACACAGGGGTGCCAACTTAAATAAAATATGGGGGGGGGAGGTAAGCCCCACCCTCCATAATCGATCACATGATGCAGTGCACTCACGCCATTTGAATGGCAATGCCCATCGATACCTCCATTGCTGCCTCTCCCCATATGAACCGACCCAGACTCTGAGGCCTTTTTCATGTGCTTCTTCTATGAGAACAGGGCCTTCTCTGCAGTGGCTCCCCCTGTGGGATGCTCTCCCCAGGGAGGCTCGCCTGGCGCCTTCATTATACGCCTTTAGGCACCAGGCCTTTGGCTGGCTGACATCCAATGCCCTTTTTAAATGTGTTTTTTTTTGGGGGGTGGGGTGATTGGGTTGTTCTTGTTTATGTTTTTATTATGTATTTTATACTGTGATTTTATGTTGTGACCACGCTGAAACCTGCTAGTATAGGGCGGTACGCAAACTGAATTAGTAATAATAATAATTTGGGGGGGGGGGAGGGCTGGCTGTCACACACAAACCCCACACCCAAAGCCACCATATCAAGGGAGACTGATCTTGGAACACTGGCCAGGCCCAAGCTGACAGTCAGGGATGGGCATACATTTTGGGGGCTGACCGGGCGGGGGGGGGGGAACTAGACTTTATTTCACCCAGGTCAAAGATCCAGTTTGACACCACCTATACACACACACACACACACACACACACACAGAGGCTGGGGTCTCCATGACGCCCCTCTGGAGTCCCAAAACCTGGCAGCCCCCCCCACTTCATAGCTACGGCTCTGGGGGGCTGTTATGGGGTTCCCTTTGCAACCAGCAACCTGGGCAGTCCCTGTCCCTGGCATTGCCCTACAACAGATCACCACATTTAAAAATAAAATAACTGCTACATCTCAGATTTTGATGAACATGTCAAAGCCACTGGTGGGAATAAATATTTCCTATGCGTTATAGATTCCAAGAAGCGCGGGGTACCAGTTAGGGAAATGCTATACTGTATCAATGCACGAATTCAGCCGCTTTTAGGACCCCTGGGTGATGAGGGACCCCGAAAGTCATGCTTCCTTCCTTTTCTGGTCCCTCCGCCACTGCAGATGGTCGAGATCAGCCCTGGAGATTTTTGCATACGTGTAGAATTTTGGGAACGCGAGGCGAACATACTTGGCATCTTGCAGCGATGTTTTCCCACCCACCCAGAAGGCAGCAAGCCCTTCCCATCCCCCGGAACACAGACAGAGAGAGACAGAAAGCCCCAAGCAAGACATCTTTTCGGGTGGGGGCCGGGGGGAGACCGCGTCCCGGGCCTCAGCCCCCAAACCAGCCGTTTTTGCGCACGGTTTCCTGCAGCTCCGTCCCTGGAGCGCTTCATCACATCCCCCCCCCCCCCACCGCTTTGCAAAACCAGAAAGTTCCCAAAGGAAAAAAAGATATATTAAATAAATTCCCTTTGCATACCTTTCTCTAATTTTGTTTTTGTTTTTTTATTTCTCTTCTCCCCGCCCCGGGTTTCTTGCTGGAAATTTCGGTTGGTCCGATGAGAGCTTATCCAAGCGCAGGGCGCAAAGTTTTTCCCCAAGCAACAGCTGGAAAGAGAAGAAGGAGAGAGAGAGGGAGAGAGAGAGAGAAGCGGCAGAGGAGGGAATTCAGGGGAAACGCTCCTCCTTGCAAAAAGTCTTGAGCTAACGGATTCGTTGCAAGAAGGAGAAGAAAAAACAGAAAGAGGGGAGAGAAAGAGAGAGACTTCTTTTCAGGAAGCAAATGGAGGTTGCATGAAGCAGACAGGGTTGTTTAGCAAAAAAAAAAAAAGAAGGGGGATTTTGCCAGGCTAATTAAGAAAAATAAAAGCCACCACAGTGCTTCCCCCCCACCTTCACCCAAGGAAAAAAAAGAGAGAGGGAGAGCAAGAGAGAGAGACCTCCTTCTCTGGTGACGCCATTGAAAGGCAGGTCTCTTTCTGTTACAGATGTAAGGCACCGCTGGGTTGCTAAACCTCAGCGGGAAAGGGAGGGGGAGGCAGATGCGCACCCTCCAGCATTTCACCGGTGTAAATCATCACCATCAAACCTTTTATTGCCATCTCATACAAACATCCATAACATATCAGTACCAGGGCCTTGCAGAGCCAGGCAGAGGCCCCGGCCAGGTAGATAATGTGCCCCCCCCTTTTTTTTAACTCTGGGGATAACTGAAGTCTTATAAATAAGTATATAAATAATTTTCACAGAAGTTATGCTGACAGATAATTTTATTTCAAGGCTTGAACCGTATCTGCATATAAAGACAAAATGGAAAATATAGATATACAATGGTTCTTTTTAAAAATACATAGGGAATGTATGCTGACCCGAGGCCCCCTTTGGAATCGGAGGCCCCCAGGGCCAAGTGGCCCATATCCCCCCCCCCCCCCGGTCTGGGCCTGATCAGTACAGAGTTACCGCTTTGACAGAGGCACAAAACATTTACCAAAAAAAAAAAAGGAGAGGCAGAACAGACTATTGCCACAACCAGTGTGAATAGCAATGTCTTATTCAAATAATAATAGTAATATTAATAATACACCACCCATCTGACTGGGTTGCACCAGCCACTCTGGCAGCTTCCAACATATATAAAAACATAATTAAACACTGAAAAACTTCCCTATCCAGGGCTGCCTTCAGATGTCCTCAAAATGTTGTATAGTGCCTTCTCTCCTTTGCTCATAGGCGCCGACTCCATGGGGCCTGAGGGGGCTTGAGCCCCTCAAAATTTTTTTTTTGGGGGCTCAGCCCCCCCAATAATTTCGGGCGCCCTTCCAGCAGAGCGCCGCCGCCCGTCCCTCCTCCCCACCTGCTCCCTCGCCAGCCAGCCAGCCGCGCGCCCTAGTCGGAGAGCCCTGGCCGTCCCCCGGAGATTAGGGAAATCCCCGGGGCGGGGCTCCTGCCTCGCTGCTTCGCAGCACCACCGCCACTGCCAAGGCACTGCCGGGGGAAATTTCCTTCCTCCTGGCGGTTTCAGCCCCCGTGAGACACAGGGGAATCCCGACTGGCCACACCCTCCAGCCAGCCAATCGGCTGGCTGGGGGGCGTGGCTTGCCCTATTTAGGGCCGGAGCCACTTTATTTGCATATTCAGAGCTTATTTATTATCATGAGCTTTCCCGGGCCCCCCCCATATTTTTTATAAGTCCGCGTCCCTGCCTTTGCTCGGGGTTGCATAACTCCAGATCCGCCAACATTTCTCCAATGAAAATAGGGACGTCCTAAGGAATAGTGGAAACGGGATGCGGGTGACGCTGTGGGTTAAACCACAGAGCCTAGGCCTTGCTGATCAGAAGGTCGGCGGTTCGAATCCCCACGTTGGGGTGAGCTCCCGTTGCTCGGTCCCTGCTCCTGCCAACCTACCAGTCCGAATGCACACCAGTGCAAGTAGATAAATAGGTACCACTGCGGCAGGAAGGTAAACGGCGTTTCCGTGCGCTGCTCTGGTTCGCCAGAAGCGGCTCAGTCATGCTGGCCACATGACACCGGCTCCCTCGGCCAATAAAGCGAGATGAGTGTCGCAACCCCAGAGTGACTGGACCTAACGGTCAGGGGTCCCTTTACCTTTAAGGAATAGTGGGACATTCCAGGATCAAATCAGAAAATGGGACAGCTTCTGTAAATCTGGGACTGTCATTGGAAAATGGGGACACTGGGAGGGTCTGCTGATGGGAGGAGAACAGCACATCTAAGATCAGGGGGAGTGGGGGATGTAATATTTAGAGCAGGGGTCCCCAAACTAAGGTCCACGGGCCGGATAAGGCCCGAGGGACTCGTTTATCCAGCCCGCCGCCTGCTGCCGCCACCTACTCATACCAGCGCTGCACTGAGCAGCTGCCCACTTCCGGGTCGGAGGAGCACCGGATATACCTTGTGCGCATGCGCAAGCGTTATTCCCAGTGCAAATCTGGGTCGGAGGAGGCCCGTACACATGCGCACAAGCTATTTCCGGTGCTCCTCCGACTTGGAAGTGCGCCGGAAATAGCGTGTGTGCATGTATATGGGCACGCACTCCCTTGCCCTCCGGCCCGCTACACGATCGGCGCTGGAGACACCGGCCCGAGGTGCAGTAAGTTTGCTGACCTCTGACGTAGAGAGCCCGCAGGATCAGGCCAATGGTCCATCTAGTCCAGCATCCTGTTCTCACAGGGGCCAACTCTCCCCTCTTGTGTTTTCCAGAGACTGGGATTCAGACGGTCTTGTAGCTCCCTCATCGGAAGCCCACATCCTCGCCAAAACATCCCTGCCCACACCCTGTACCCCAGCCTGTGCATGAGACACAGGTGGCGCTGTGGGTTAAACCACAGAGCCTAGGACTTTCCGATCAGAAGGTCGGCAGTTCTAATCCCCGCGACGGGGTGAGCTCCCGTTGCTCGGTCCCTGCTCCTGCCAACCTACCAGTCTGAATGCACACCAGTGCAAGTAGATAAATAGGTACCACTGCGGCGGGAAGGTAAACAGTGTTTCCGTGCACTCTGGTTTCCATCACAGTGTTCCATTATGCCAGAAGCGGTTTAGGGATGCTGGCCACATGACCCAGAAAGCTGTCTGTGGACAAATGCCAGTTCCCTTGGCCTGAAAGCAAGATGGGCGCTGCAACCTCAGAGTCACCTTTGACTAGACTTTACACACACACACACACACACACACACACACACAAACACAGTGGTACTTCAGGTTACAGGCGCTTCAGGTTACATACGCTTCAGATTACAGACTCTGCCAACCCAGAAATAGTACCTTGGGTTAAGAACTTTGCTTCAGGATGAGAACAGAAATCGTGCTCTAGCGGCGCGGCGGCAGCAGGAGGCCCCATTAGCTAAAGTGGTGCTTCAGGTTAAGAACAGTTTCAGGTTAAGAACGGACCTCCGGAACGAATTAAGTACGTAACCAGAGGTACCACTGTATCTCTCTCTCCCTCCCTCTCTCTCTCTCTCTCTCTCTCTCTCTATATATATATATATATTAGTTTTTTAACATATCATTTTCAACAATTATTAAACATACTTTTGTATCTTATACAATTTTTTTTGACTTCCATCAATCACATCTGAAAATTTTCCACTCTTTTCACTTAATTTACATTTCTTACTTTCACTATTACATTTAAATCTCATAACTAATATCTCTATTCTTTCTCTAGTTTGCAACGTTTCATATATTTCTCCTTACAAAACGTCTTGTAGTCCTACTAGCGTAATTTGTTGATTACAGTTGCTCTTCAAATAGTTTGTATATTTCTTCCAATCTTCTGTGAATCTCTGGTCCCGCAGGTTTCGAACCCTTCCTGTCATCTTATCCAGTTCTGCGTAGTCCATTAATTTTGTCTGCCATTCTTCTTTCGTCACGCCTTTGACTGGACTTAACCGTCCAGGGGTCCTTTACCTTACCTTGACATTTACCTTGACATTTTACCTTACCCCAGCCTGTATTTGAAGCTGTTCTTTCCCTCTCACTTACTGTCTCACTTACCCAATTCTGGGTAGGAAAACAGGGTGTGTTTTTAATCCATTCATCCCTTATTGGCACAATACTTTTAAAAATGTAACTTCAAAATGCAGAGCATCTCATTTTGATCTCTTCCACAGAAGCCTGCGACGGGTGATGCAACTGTGATGGGCCTTGTCAGGCAAGGGGTCCTACTTTGCGGGAGCTATAGAAGCGGGCCTATGGAACTCCCTGCCACAAGGCATGGCAATCTGTGCTGGCTTGGGTTGTTTTTAAAGAAGGCCCCTGGTGGGTTTGCCTCCACAGGACCTTTTCCCTATGTTCCTAACTCAAACCGGATCTTTATTCAGGATCATGAGGACTACATCCTTAGTTTATATTTAGAGGGAAATGTCACGGGGAATGGATTGGGGAGTGTGCTTCCCATTTTTGAAAAACAGCGCTTCAGTGTGCAAGAGTAAAAAAACGGATAATGTACATTTCTCATAATGCCACAGGGTGACATCACTTATTAAAGGCTGACTCCCCTTGCAAAATGGTGCAGAGGCGCAGGGTGGGAATGCATTTAAATAACATTAATGATAATAAATAGATATATTTATAAGGGGCCCTTTATGGGGTGGGACGTGTGTTAGTTTTCACTTTCAAAGTGCCCTCTGGTGGCCAAATAAGGGAAAGCTTTCCTTTTTTCAGATATGTTTTGTTGTTTAGCCGTTTAGTCGTGTCCGACTCTTCGTGACCCCATGGACCAGAGCACGCCAGGCACCTCTGTCCTCCACTACTTCCCGCAGTTTGGTCAGACTCATGCTGGTAACCTCGAAAACACTATCCAACCATCTCGTCCTCTGTCGCCCCCTTCTCCTTGTGCCCTCCATCTTTCCCAGCATCAGTGTCTTCTCCAGGGAGTCTTCTCTTCTCATGAGGTGGCCAAAGTACTGGAGCCTCAGCTTCACGATCTGTCCTTCCAGTGAGCACTCAGGGCTGATTTCCTTCAGAATGGATGCGTTTGATCTTCTTGCAGTCCATGGGACTCTCAAGAGTCTTCTCCAGCACCATAATTCAAAAGCATCAATTCTTCAGCGATCAGCCTTCTTGATGGTCCAGCTCTCACTTCCATACATCGCTACTGGGAAGACCATGGCTTTAACTATACGGACCTTTGTTGGCAAGGTGACGTCTCTACTTCTCAAGATGCTGTCTAGGCCTGTCATTGCCCTTCTCCCAAGAAGCAGGCGTCTTTTAATTTCGTGGCTGCTGTCACCATCTGCAGTGATCAAGGCGCCCAAGTAAGTAAAATCTCTCACTGCCTCCATTTCTTCCCCTTCTATTTGCCAGGAGGTGACGGGACCAGTGGCCATGATCTTCGTTTTTTTGATGTTGAGCTTCAGACCATATTTTGCGCTCTCCTCTTTCACCCTCATTAAAAGGTTCTTTAATTCCTCCTCACTTTCTGCCATCAAGGTTGTGTCATCTGCATATCTGAGGTTGTTGATATTTCTTCCGGCAATCTTAATTCCAGCTTGGGATTCATCCAGCCCAGCCTTTCGCATGATGTATTCTGCATATAAATTAAATAAGCAGGGAGACAAAATACAGTCTTGTCGTACTCCTTTCCCAATTTTGAACCAATCAGTTGTTCCATATCCAGTTCTAACTGTAGCTTCTTGTCCCACATAGAGATTTCTCAGGAGACAGATGAGGTGATCAGGCACTCCCATTTCTTTAAGAACTTGCCATAGTTTGCTGTGGTCGACACAGTCAAAGGCTTTTGCATAGTCAATGAAGCAGAAGTAGATGTCTTTCTGGAACTCTCTAGCTTTCTCCATAATCCAGCGCATGTTTGCAATTTGGTCTCTGGTTCCTCTGCCTCTTCTAAATCCAGCTTGCACTTCTGGGAGTTCTCGATCCACATACTGCTTGAGCCTTCCTTGTAGAATTTTAAGCATAACCTTGCTAGCGTGTGAAATGAGTGCAATTGTGCGGTAGTTGGAGCATTCTTTGGCACTACCCTTCTTTGGGACTGGGATGTAGACTGATCTTCTCCAATCTTCTGGCCACTGCTGAGTTTTCCAAATTTGCTGGCATATTGAGTGTAGCACCTTAACAGCATCATCTTTTAAAATTTTAAATAGTTCAGCTGGAATACCATCACTTCCACTGGCCTTGTTATTTGCAGTGCTTTCTAAGGCCCATTTGACTTCACTCTCCAGGATGTCTGGCTCAAGGTCAGCAACCACACTACCTGGGGTGTATGAGACATCCATATCTTTCTGGTATAATTCTTCTGTGTATTCTTGCCACCTTTTCAGATATATTTTATTGTTATTGCTTTTTTAAAGAAATATTTTAAAGGAAAAATCTCAAAGTGATTTGCAACACATGAAAACACCAAACAAAACACTCCAGAATAAAACAAATCCAAGCTTCCAGATTAGTATTTCAGATTCTTCTCTAAGTGACGTTTTGCTTTCCCCTAATTTATTAGACTGGCTTATTAGATTTAGATTATTATTATTATTTTTTATTATTATTATTTAGATTATTATTTATTAGATTGCCCTGTAGCAGAAGGACTCTAGAAATTTCACATATACATTCCAACACATAATAGATTTTTCTTTCATTTTTGTTGACTTACCATCACATTTTCCAGGGTTTTTTTTTTTATTTGTTTCTCCCCCTATCTTCTCTCTCTCTGCCCCTTGGTTAGAAAACTATTATTATTATTATTATTATTATTATTATTATTATTATTATTATTAACTCACCCTTTTTCATTAATTGAAAACAAACCCTTTCCCCCAGACATGAAAATGAACACAAATTAGGTAAACATATGTCAAAAGTTCTTTATTGATTCAAAAGAGGAAATGTGGAGTTCTTGTCCCTTGTTGCAATGGTCTTCTGGTAAGGATACGGTTTTAGAGTATCAGCTCAATCCATAAACTATGAGACATGGAATCTCAGGGCTGTGGGTTCGAGTCCCATGTTGGGCATTAAGTTTCCTTCATTGTAGGGAGTTGGATTAGATCACCCTTGGGGTCTCTTCCAGCCCTATAATTCTTTGATTCAATATGCCAAAACCCAATTGGACATTTTCATTTGTATCAAAATCATTATTTCTCCTTCCTGCACTGCTGGCAATCCATCAAATTCTTTGACCTGAGGCTTCCAATTTTCCTTTGGAATTTCCACATGCGATGATTCCAACCACTAGGTAGCGTTGCTCCCCCTGACCCCAGGCAAGATGCCTTACCTACCAGGCAGGGAATCGAGACCTGCAGGTTTTCCCATAAGAGTCCCGGAGGAGAGTTATGGCTCTACCGGTTGAGTTACTATCTGCGGCACAATACTCACACAGCGCAGGAGCTCTCCGTGAGAAAGGAAGTGGCGAATGTGAGTTTTTCAGGCCTAACTTGTGCTCTTCACACCTTCTCAAAACCAGAAGCCTTTCTTCAAAAGCGCTTTTTTAACCTTCCTGCTTACGCAGTACGGAAATTGGGTCAAAACTTCAAAGACACCCCCACCTCACCCTGTCGACGTCTGCAGAGCAAACTCAGCCACTTCACTGCCAGAGACCAGACCTCTCTCTTTCTCTCTCGTTCCCTTTACACCCCTAAAAACTATCATTTTGCTTTGGGATGGACATCTGACTCCATTCATTTCCCCTTAAAAAGAGAGAAACGGACAGAAACGTTTACGGAAGTGTCCATTGTCTTCCCTGCCCTCTGATTCAGGTAAGGATCTTGAGATATTTGATGCACAGATAACCATTTTTCTCCCCATTTAGTGCTGAACTGGCGCTGCTCCACATTGGTAAGAAATTGATATTTCATTGTGTTGGCATCTGCCCTCTGGAACTCCCTGCCTATTGACATCAACAGAAGTCTAGTGTCCAGATCAAGGGAAGTAAGGGTACCACTCTATTCTGCCTTGGTCAGGCCACAACTGGAATACTGTGTTCAGCTCTGGGCACCAAAATTTGAGAAGGATGTTGACAAGCTGGAAGGTGTGCAGAGGAGGGTGACCGAGATGATCAAGGGTCTGGAAACCAGACCATATGAGGAACGGTTGAAGGAGCTGGGTAGGTTTAGCCGGGGAAAGAGGAGACTGAGAGGAGATAGGAGAGCCACCTTCAAATATCTCAAGGGCCGCCACACGGAAGATGGAGCATTTTGTTTTCTCCTGCTCTGGAGGGTAGGACTCGAACCCGTGGCTTCAAGTTACAACAAAGGAGATTCTGACTAAATGCCAGGAATAAATTTCTGACAGTAAGAGCAGTTTGACAGTGGAAGAATCTCCCTCAGGAGGTGGTGGGCTCTCCTTCCTTGGAGGTTTTTAAGCAGAGGTTTGGAAGGCCATCTGTCATGGATGCTTTAGCTGAGATTTCTGCATTGCAGGGGGTTGGACTAGATGTCCCTTGGGGTCCCTTCCAACTCTACAATTCTGTGATCAGGGGACACCTTCTTCACTGTACTCTTTCCTGTGCTCAGCGAAATACATTTTCGTTGCTGTTTAGACAGGCCTTTCCAGACATGTGGAATCATACATTCGTAGACTAGGAAAGAATCACAAGGGACATCTATTTCCACCCAGGAATGTTGACATATGTTTTAATCTGTTTTCATTTTATCACAGGTTTTATCTTTGGAAAGTTTTAAAGAATTGTTTCCCCCAGTATTTTTAATGGCCTTAATTCTATTGAGAAACACTTTGAGATTGTTGTTGTTCTATAGTCAAGTGGTATAGACATTTTATAGAAAAAACACACAGCAAAAAAAATTTGGGAGTTCAAGGTGGGTTTTCAGGGATTGAACTTCAAGGGGGTCCTTGGTTCTTAAAGGTTGGTTAGGGTGGGCTGGCGCTGGGTTTAGAGAGACCGGTGGTGTGATTTCGTGTAAGACAGCTTCCTATTTAAATCAGCTGCTTATCCAAAACCACAGGACTAGAAACTTCTTCGCAGGCAGAAGGTCCTGGGTTCAGTCCCCCGCCTGAAATCCTGGAGACCCACCTTCAATCACTGCAAATAGTCCTGAGCTCGATTGATCCATAGTCTGATTTGGTATATATTGTTGTTGTTTAGTCATTGAGTCGTGTCTGACTCTTCGTGACCCCCTGGACCAGAGCACGACAGGCACTCCTGTCTTCCACTGCCTCCTGCAGTTTGGTCAAACTCATGCTGGTAGCTTCAAGAACACTGTCCCACCATCTCGTCCTCTGTCGTCCCCTTGTGCCCTCCATCTTTCCCAACATCAGGGTCTTTTCCAGGGAGTCTTCTCTTCTCATGAGGTGGCCAAAGTCTTGGAGCCTCAGCTTCATGATCTGTCCTTCAAGTGAGCACTCAGGGCTGATTTCCTTTAGAATGGATTTGATCTTCTTGCAGTCCATGGGACTCTCAAGAGTCTCCTCCAGCACCAGAATTCAAAAGCATTTATTCTTCGGCGATCAGTCTTCTTTATGGTCCAGCTCTCACTTCCATACATCACTACTGGGAAAATATACTACCTGTACTTGGTATATATAGCCAGAATTTTTGTTAGGGGGGCAGACCTTTTGTTGAGTGGGGGCAAAACCTCAGTTTGCTATGCATTTTTATTGATTTTTATTCATTGGGGGGCAGCTGCCCCTCCCTGCCCCCCTTGGCTACACCCATGTATATGTCTCTATCTAAATCAGAATCATGAGGACCAGAAACTAACTTTAGATTTACAGGGGAAGGCCACAGCTCAGTTGCAGGGGAATCTGACGAAAGGCAGCGTCCTACATTCCCAGTCAACCCTATCAAATGCTTTCTCCAGAACCGCCAGGACTTTACAAACTTAGTTTTACTACCAGGGCAAGGCAGGAGCTCCATGGCTACTTTGCCCGCAGAAGCTCCCATGTTCAAGCTGCCAACCAGTGTAAACAATATTGAGCTTGATGGCCCAGGGGTCTGACACAGTGCAATGGAGTTTCTTTTTTAAAAATAAAACAAAATGTCCAAAAATCCCATATAAAATTCCAGTGCAAATTTTAAAAGATTTCTTTCATATTGTTGACTTCATGTCCCATTTTCTGTTATGTTTTTCTTATCCTCCCCCTTTCCTGCATTCTGTCTTCCCTCTGTTTTATCATAGTCACAACACAATGATTTTTTAATTATTTTTGTTGCTCATAGTTCGAAACCTGATCACAGATTCTTCATGTTCTGTGTCCTGCTCAGAGCAAAATCATTGCAGGCTGTTTTATTTAGCTCCTTTGATTTCAGTAAGTTCCTCTATGTTTAACTTAGCCAGCAACTACTCACAGTCGTATTCAGAGTAGTCCCCGTTGGACTCACTTCGGCCCATCAATTTCCAATGGGTCTTCTCTGTGCTAAAAATTTTCAGTGTTTGCGAAGGAAGTGGAGTCTTGCGATTGACATCTATACTGTGACTTGGGGTTGATTTCGGTTTCTCTCAAGTTTTCCACCCTTCCAGTTTTCAGTTTGTCATGTTTCCACATCCGTTTGCAAACTTTAATAAAATAATTTTAAAAGCCCTGATGGAAGTTCATCAGCACTTTTGCCTCCCATTGACGGGTTTCTGTGTGGAGTTTCCCTAATATGATGCATCCCCACGTGTTATTTTTGCAAATTTGTGCACACATTTCCACCGAGTGTCTGCACAGTTTGACCTGTGCTTCATTTGTGGGGGCTGAATCATTGGAGTTCGGAGGCTTGTGAAATGAAATTATGAAGTTGCTAACCAGCTTCTTCTGGCTGGCATACATGAATGCCACTATTGGTGGTGAACGCCAGGCCAATGTGATTTAGGGACAAGTATTGACTGCTTAGGGACTCGGGTGGTGCTATGGGTTAAACCACAGAGCCTAGGACTTGCTGATCAGAAGGTCAGCAGTTCGAATCCCCGCGACGGGGTGAGCTCCCATTGCTCGGTCCCTGCTCCTGCCAACCTAGCAGTTCGAAAGCACGTCAAAGTGCAAGTAGATAAATAGCTGTTTCCGTTTCCGTGCGCTGCTCTGGTTCGCCAGAAGCGGCTTAGTCCTGCTGGCCACATGACCCGGAAGCTGTACGCTGGCTCCCTCGGCCAATAAAGCGAGATGAGCGCTGCAACCCCAGAGTCGGTCACGACTGGACCTAATGGTCAGGGGTCCCTTTACCTTGATTGACTGCTTGGGTCTTGCATGCTCAATAGGTTTATAACTTTTTGACCCCCCCCCAAAAAAAGCCACACACCCTGATTTCCTGTGTCATAAACTTTTGCATAGAAACACTGAAAAAGGGACTAATTTTGTAAACACAAAAATGTTTACAAAAAAGCATTGCAGGTGTTGGAGAATCACTGGAAGCAGGACCCATCCGTACTCCAGACACCAAGAAGTGATCCGTGCACAGAACGCGCAATCCAAGTGATGCAGGAATGTTATGGTGCTTGCAGCAGAAACAAAGTCCATCTGCAACCTTGATTTATTCTAAGTGATAAGAATTGATGTACAATGTACAAAACATTGTACAAGTATTAGAAAATTTGCAAGCTTTGCTTTCCCCATATTATAATACATGCTATGCATATTACATAATATGTTAAAAAGGTAAAGGACCCCTGACAGTTAAGTCCAGTTGCGAACGACTCTGGGGTTGCGGCACTCATCTTGCTTTATTGGCCGAGGGAGCCGACGTTTGTCTGCAGACAGTTTTTCCGGGTCATGTGGCCAGCATGACTAAGCCGCTTCTGGCGAACCAGCGCAGCACACGGAAACACCGTTTACCTTCCCGCTGGAGTGGTACCTATTTATCTACTTGCACCTTGATGTGCTTTCGAACTGCTAGGTTGGCAGGAGCAGGGACTGAGCAACGGGAGCTCACCCCGTCGCGGGGATTCGAACCACTGACCTTTTGATTGGCAAGTCCTAGGCTCTGTGGTTTAACCCACAGCGCCACCTGTGTCCCTACATAATACGTTATACAGCTACAAATACAAAAATGGATGTATTGATTTCAAGGTGACCTTTCCCCCCCCCAAAAAAAAAAAAATTTGGAAATGACAGCTCATTCCTTTGTTTTTAGGCAAAAATTCATGAGGCTGTAAAAATGTTATAACCCTAATGCTCAACCTGTATAGAAATGGGTGTTTTGTTTTGTCCCCCCCCCCCCCCGCAGAAGAGAAAAAGGTTCAGGACAGGTGGAGTGGGTGGGATCCAAGCATGCGCACACAGTCTTGGGCAAACTTTTCCAACAAACTATTTTGGGGTGGGGGAACTTACCCATTCAACCTATAAAAATAAATTGCCTTGGTCTCCCCCTCTGCCTGAAAAAAGGTTAAGCAATTGTACATTTCCAAGCACAATACAAAGTGTTGGTGCTGACCTTGAAAGCCCTAAACGGCCCAGTATATCTGAAGGAGTGTCTCCACCCCCATCGTTCTGCCCGGACGCTGAGGTCCAGCACCGAGGGCCTTCTGGCGGTTCCCTCATTGCGAGAAGTGAAGTTACAGGGAACCAAACAGAGGGCCTTCTCGGTAGTGGCACCCGCCCTGTGGAACGCCCTCCTGTTAGATGTCAAGGAAATAAACAACTCTCTGACTTTTAGAAGACATCTGAAGGCAGCGCTGTTTAGGGAAGCTTTTAATATCTGATGGACTATTGAATTTTAATATTTTGTTGGAGGCCACCCAGAGTGGCTGGGGAGGCCCAGCCAGATGGGCGGGGTATAAAATAATAATAATAATAATAATAATAATAATAATAATAATAATAA